TGTGCGACTGCTGACTCAGCGTCTGACGGCTCAATGGAGGAATGATTCAGCAGTTTGTCTCTCTGCACTGGAAGTACTGGGAGGACTGGCTAAGGTGGAGACACACAGACGCAGACCTTGAATTCATAATAAACGGTACTCTGACCCTCTCCCGTCATCCCGCAGGTGGAGGTGAGTGTGGAAGAGAGTGAGAGGATGCGAGTGGTCACTTCAGTCTGCTGTTACATCGTGTTTCAGTGCAGTCGACCTCCTCCGCTTCACTCCAGAGATCTGCACTCCATCATCGTTGCTGCTTTCCACTGCCTGAACGTCTGGTTAACTCACCACCCTGCGATGCTCGACCACCAGGTAAATAACCGGCAGGTATCCAACAGCCAGGTAACTCCACCTACAGTACACAAGTTCTCCCTCACAACCTTGCTCTTCTGCACCGGTTCTTTCTGACTCTCTCAAGCTTTGGGCACCGGCCTCCACCCAGGACACGATCGCATACCATTCTACTGCGCTCTGCTTAATGCTGATGTTCTCAGAATCCTCCACTTGGACTAATTGAAGAACCTCTGTAGATATCAGGATGTACAGTTGTTGTCGGAGGTGTTGATATGTTGTGCGTTTGTGTTGTGACTTTGTTATGTTGTAATGCTGTTTTAAGGAGTGTTTGTTGGAGGTCCTGGAGATAGTGGAATTGGGAATATCGGGCACTAAGTCCAGACAGGAAGAGGAAGCGAGGTGTAAAGAGCAGAAAGAACTCAACCCGGTCTCTTTGAGGGTGAAGGAGGCAGCGGAGGCCACACTGACCTGGTGAGCAAAACAAACACACGTGTGAAGGTATGAAATATTTAAAAATAAAACTGATGTTATATATAAGGAATAGATAGGAATAAAGTAAAAAATAAAGGAATACCTGACTGTTTTACTTACCTATTTGTGTATTCAGAGTCCACATATTTGGCCTATTACAGCCATTTTGTGTTGGTTGCAAGGTATATTCTCACAATTTGCAGAATTATTAAAAACAACCAAGCGTTTAGTTGTGCATCCATCCTGGTCAATAAAATAACTATAGTATATTTATCTTTAGTAAGTATATTTTGTCCATGTTGCCACTTTTATTGTTAAAAGTTAAAGGATGAGTTAAAGTGAAACAAGTCTGAGCTGCAGATCAGATCAGATTCAGCTTTGGGTCAAGGTGACGATTTAGGGCCAAAATCGGGCCCCAAACCAAGACAGTGTTGGCAGAACTTTGTACAAGTGTAATCTTTTCTCAAATCCTAGTGTAATGCAGGTTTCGCGGGCCTTCCCGTTCCTTGGAGGCCTGCTAGTGGAGGACGCGCTGATTGGCCGCTCCACTTTGAGCGACCACTGTGTCAAGAAATTCCGATATTTTGTGGTGGACCGCTCGGTTATCTTGGCCATGCTGGAACAACCACAGGGACCTGAACAGGGTCAGTACTGATCCTGGATCAGATATACACAGAAACACACACCCTCTTAAGAACTGATCCTTTCCAATACAAATACAATAAACAATACCAATGTTTCCAATGGCGTATGCAGCGCCATGTCCGTCGCTCACAGTGCTGATCAGAGGACCTTCAGGAGGTCACACCTGGACTCTGCAGCTTCACCTTCAACCCAGAGAGGGAAGAAATGAATCACAGGTGACCACTTTCATAAACGACCAAAAACAATCAAATATCTTGTAACAAAAAGCCATTTTAGTGATACAGCTATACAGACTTGAGATCAATGTATTGTCGCTTCTGTCTCTTGGTCAACTTCAGCAAACTCTGATCCCAGAGCAGCGCAGTGCAGCCCAGGAGGATGCTGGGATACGATGTGATGTTGAACATCAGCTGTTTCCTGAGAGCGTTGACAGAGATGCTTCGGTTAAAGCAGATCTGAGTATTCCAACCCTACATGAGAGTCTTACTGAGGAGGTAAATGCCCGGTCAAACCCAAAACCAGGCTTGGTTTGTTCCAGGATAAACCAGGATTGTTCATTCTACCTTTTATTTCTTCACCTGTTTGTTGCGCCAGTGGTGTTGCTCAGGGATCAAATCTTCTTTTCACTTACTGGTCTTGCTAATCAAAACTGGATGTAACAGCCCTTTTGAAAGCTAAATCCAAGACCGACGGGTTTCTTTACCTGTGACACGTGTCTTTACCCTGTGCAGAATTAGCACCTTCTCAGGTGTCATGTAAAACTCCTCTTCCTCCTCTAACAGGTGGAGCATCAACTTGAGCATCTGAAAGCAGCGCTGAAGAGGCAGCGACAAGTCGAGGCTCGGCCGCAGGTGAGCGGACGCACGGTTGTCACGAAGACCTGCCGACCGCCACCTCCATCTACCGACTTCCAGACAGCGAGACTCTTCCTGTCCCACCTGGGCCTGCTGACACCTGAGGCCTTGAAGGTATCAGGACATGGCGGAGCTTGATTCATCGGTACATTTAGATCTGTCGTTCTGTTGTCCTACCCGGTGGTCTCTCCTCTGTAGAGTCCGGGCACCAGTGGTGTCCCAGCTCAGCTGGTGTCTCTCGACTCGTCACTTCCAGGTTTCTCAGAGGATCTGGGACATTTGGACCAGCTGGCATCCAGAAACTGTGACTCCGCCTTCATCTTCTACATGGGAGCAGGACAGAGGACGGCTGCTGAGGTCATAACACACCTCTCTGTGTTTGTTTGTATCTCGGGGAGTGATATGTGGCAAAGGCAAATCACCATTGAACTCGAAAAAGATGCGAACCAATGGCGGACACTTTCCAGATATCGAACGTGCTAAATATCTGGCTGACATTAAGATCTGTCTGACTCTTTGTAGATTCTGAGGAATGTGGAGTCCTGCTGCAGCGTCCAGTCTCACTTCCTGGACTTTCTTTGGTCCCTGGGTCGACCAGCAGCGGTGGGGCGACGACAGTGTGGCGGGTCCAACACTTTAGGTCAGTGCTCTGATTGGTGACTTCTCAACAACAGGTTGCTGTCATGGATCGGTGGTAACCGGAGGTCACCGTTCACCTTAATTAATTGTTTGTATCAGAGTTCCCAGCTGTGCTGGGTGACAGTGGAGGGGGCGTGTTTAACGGAGAGAGGTTTGTCCTGATGTACACCGACGCACTGACGGAGATGACCTTCCTCGTACCCTCACCCTCACACGGTGAGTGTGAGTTAACTCTATGGTGTTGACCATATAAGGAGTGATGTGATCATTTAAAGGGAGGTGGTACCATATGCAGGTAGTTCCGACCCTATAAAGAGCGTTTTGACCATATAAGGAGGAGTTATAAGGAGAGCTGTGACCATATAAGGTATTTACTCGTTATTTATTAAAGACCTCATTGCGATTTTGTTTGAAGTGGCCGATTTGTCGAAGAGTCCGACCGGGTTGTCATCCAACCTGCAGAGTCCTTCTGAACCCAGCAAGGACTCCACCCCCGAACCCACGGTATGGACCTTCAAAATAATAAAAATTCTAACTCCTGTGTGTCATTATCTCACCTGTCTGTCTTTCCCTCCATTTGTCCGTCTTTGTCCAGAGTTCTCCAGTTGAAGACACAAAGTCTTTTTGTTTTGAGTCGTCATCCGTTGGCTTTGAGTCCAAACTCCTGATAGTCTGGGTCGAACGCTTTGAGGATATTGGTAACTAAGCTCGTAATGACAGTATAACTAAAACATGTTGCATTCATACTGTGTTGATATGTTTTATTTTTGCGTTTCAGAGAGCTTCCCTTTACCAGACCTGCTGTCAGGGACAAAGAAGGAAAAACTGACCAGGTGAAACAAACACAAACACAAACACTGTTACAAACCGCTTCAGACTGACGTAGTAACAACAGTGTTTTTTCCTCCATTGTCAGCGTTTCAAACGTCCAGGTGATCTTCATCCACCCACTCAAGACGGGACTTTACCGGATTCGTTTCCATGGAAACACAACCAGCAAGTTCAGCTCGGTCGTCCCGTTGGTCGACGGGAGTGTGGTCAGCAAGAGGTCTTTGGGTACGTCTGACTTACGTGCAAACACTCCAAACTTGAAAATAACAATTGCAATTACTTTTCCTCCTAAATGATCTGGTTATAACAGTGTCTTCTATTTCTTCAATTGTCATTAGTCACCTTTTGGTCAAAGAAGCCAGTTTTGTCTTTGGCTCATTGTGGAACAAAGACCTCATATGATGTATTTTCCTTAAATAATCTGTACTTGAGACGGCCCTTGTTTCTTTTTCTGTCTGAAGGTTTCCTGGTCAGAGAGACAGCGATCAACTGCTGCCAACGGCGACGGTTGGAGAGCGACTCTGCCCCTCCTCCCCATGTCAGAAGAAAGCAGATGATCAATAACATAATCCAGCGTTATCGGAGGCGTGGCTCTGAGCCCGCCTTTTACGCCGCCCTGTTCAAAGACCCCTGACCCCCCAGACCTCTTTAACTTTCTGAAGTGTTACCATGGCCAGCTGACCTTTTATCAACTATAAAAAATGCCTTCTGTAGTTTTCAATTTGCCAATCAGCATCATCAGTTCCTGCTATTTTTAAGGTTTTGTGTTTGACGACAGATGTTTACTGAGTGATGATGTCACCGGAAAGAATAAATAAAATATGTGGAAACTTGAACTGTGATCTCTGTGTTTCCTGTACAAACCTGATGGTCCTCCTGTGATGTAATCAATTCTAATCAAAGCGTCAAAATACAATTAACAGAGTTGAAGTAATACATATGATTGATCCAATTACAACCTCCTGCTATGTTGTGTTCCTGTTAATTCCACCTGCCTCTCCTCCCGTAGTCATGGTTACCGCCTTCCGGTAATCCAGTTACCATGGCGATGGGGCCGAGCTGATAATCGCCCCTTCGACCTTTTCCTTTGACTTACTTGAATGGAATTGAATCGTTGACCTTTGTTTTCATCTTTGAGCGTCCGTCGGTGACGTCAGGCCACTTCCTTCTCCAATGGGAAGTCGTTGATGGGGGGCGAGGACGGGAGGGGGGGGTAAAAAAAAAAAAAATCTGCTGATCAGCCAATCTGCAGCAAGTCTGTCGCTGCGGGTTTTGTTTTCCTCCTCCTCTCCCTCTCTCCTTCCATCCTGTTTTCTCCTCCTCCTCCTTGGCTCCTCCGCAGCGATGCTCCGATCCGGCTGGGCCGTCCTCGGCACTCTGTCTGCGGACGGGCAGTAGATCTGCGGCTCGGTGCTGGTCCCTCCGCGGAGCGATGGTGCAGAAATCCCGCAACGGCGGGGTGTTCCCCGGGGCGCAGGCCGACCAGAAGAAGCTGAAAGTGGGCTTCGTGGGTCTGGAGGCCGGGGGGACTGAGGCCACCAGAGATGGAGCCCAGCTCATAGCAGGTAATAACAACCGGTCCACGGGCGGTATGAACGGGGACCGTCTCAGAGCATCATCGGCAGACCCGGATCAGGGTTATTATTATTCATGATGTTGAGGACCCGATGGAAACATTCCCGGTTCTGCTGCACGATTCCAACAATTATAACAAGAGACGTGCATTTGGACCAACGAGAATAATACATCAGTGTTTACTGTTAGCATGTCACACGGCTGCTCGGCTGTGATTGGCTGAGGGCGCATGCGCGTTGGCTGGTGTTTATTAGTATTAGTTATTATTATGTGAAGAGCAAAATCAACATGAACATCTCCACTCAACTGCTACTGCATGTTTCAGCCAAAGTGGCAGCATCAGTGGAAGTTGCCCGCTGATGATGCCGGTTGGAGGAGACCAACAAACCAGTGCAGATAGGGAGGCTGGACAGAAGGACCAGTCTGGATTCAAGCCCCCACACACACAAATGAAGCTCAACAGTTGTGGAAGTCACAAAAAAGTCCCATTCATTGCCTGAATTATGAATTTTTGGATTTGTAGACATAACTACTTAACCATCCACGGTGGATTCACCATAAATTATTAAGATTGTGAAACGATTCATCCCAATGTATTGGAGAGGCATTGTAGTTCCATCAATCCTAAATGTATGTGTGACTTCCCTGATTGGAGTAGAACCAAGTGACCATGGAAAGGTTTACAAAGTAGATGTTTACAGTGTCTGCAGCAATCTCCGGTTTTACCCAGTGAAGTGTGTTAAACCTGCATTCTGTCTACTGTCCACCAGGGGGCGACTCCTCTGGTCCCATAGACGTCTATGAGGAAATGACTCTACTTCTCTGTAGTGACCAGCAGGGGGCGACTCCTCTGCTCCCATAGACGTCTATGCGGAAATGACTCTACTTCTCTGTAGTGACCAGCAGGGGTCGACTCCTCTGCTCCCATAGACGTCTATGAGGAAATGACTCTACTTCTCTGTAGTGACCAGCAGGGGGCGACTCCTCTGCTCCCATAGACGTCTATGAGGAAATGACTCTACTTCTCTGTAGTGACCAGCAGGGGGCGACTCCTCTGCTCCCATAGACGTCTATGAGGAAATGACTCTACTTCTCTCTTGATTTATTCCCTCAGTAAACATTGTAAACATGAGTTTATGGTCTCAGTCTCTAGTTTCAACTATTCTGCAGTACAGCATGATGTTCATTTAGTGACCTATAGTCCATGTAGAGTCAAACAGACCATAAAGCAGGGGACGCTTTAGGGCGGGCCAACACGCTGATTGACAGGTCTCTTTCTGTTTTTTTTTCTGTTTTAAGACTACTCACACTGCTGAAGTGTTGGTGTAAGTATATTTACGTTTGTTAATGAACATATATACTTGTCTTCAGGTGGGGATGAAGGTCCTCGGCGGCAGCGCAGCAGCGTATCCGGAGTGAAGAGACCACCGAAGCGAAACGCCTTCTACAGACGACTGCAGAACTTCCTCTACAACGTCCTGGAGAGACCTCGAGGATGGGCCTTCATCTACCACGCCTACGTGTAAACACCCGTCTACACGCCAGTCGCCATGTCCAAACATTATTGTTGTTGTAACTAAAAGCTTTAATCAACCCATATTTATTTTATTGGAAAATTCAATAGTTTTGAATGCTATTCAAAGGAACAACATGAGTGATGAAATAATTGATCAATCATATAAAAGCGTGTGTGTGTGTGTTCTCTGCTCAGGTTCGTGCTGGTCTTCTCCTGCTTGGTTATGTCTGTGTTCTCCACCATCAGAGAGTACGAGAAGTCTTCAGAGGACGCTCTCTACATTCTGGTAAATTCTCCATCACCCACGGTGTTAAAAACAAACGCGTCAGTCATCTTCTGATCTGAGATCCACTGACGAGCTCTGAAGCTCTGAGTTCACGTAGCTTGCTGATGTTTTTACACTTGTCAGTTTTAATTATGTTCACTTTCTGTGTACGTATTTGTTGCTTCCCTGAATAAGCTTAAATTCCCTCAAATGCATTTTGTTAAGAGGCAACTCAATGTGATGAAAATTATTTCTGTATTTAAAGGAAAATGAGTAATACTGGCAGCAGGAAGTAGCAAACAAGCAAGTCATTTCAAAGACAACTGCAACTTTCTGAGATTGTGTTGTTGCGCAACAGGAAGTGGTGACCATCGTGGTGTTTGGGGTGGAGTACATTGTGAGGATCTGGGCTGCAGGTTGCTGCTGTCGGTACAGAGGATGGAGAGGACGACTCAAATTTGCCAGAAAACCTTTCTGTGTCATCGGTGAGTCTGTGGACGCTCAGACTAACAAAACCTCATCTGCCGTCTGTCTGCAGACAGCTTAACAGAAGAAAAATGTTTTTATTAAAATCCCCTTTAAACCGGTTGAATGATACGCTGTAATCAGCTGTCTGTCTCCGTGTGTGTGTCTCCCTGTCTGTCTCTCATTCTCTCTGCAGACATCATGGTGTTGATAGCGTCCATCTCGGTATTGGCTGCAGGGACTCAGGGGAACGTCTTCGCCACGTCGGCCATCAGGTCGCTTCGTTTCCTTCAGATTCTTAGGATGATCCGGATGGACCGACGGGGGGGAACCTGGAAGCTGCTGGGATCAGTGGTCTACGCCCACAGCAAGGTAACCATGGAAACGGCTGTCCGTATAGATCACGTGAATTAACACGGTATCATTGTTGACAAATTCCATGTCTCGCCGACTCATGATGTCTGTCTCACTGTCTCCCTGCAGGAGTTAATCACTGCGTGGTACATCGGCTTCCTGTGTCTCATTCTGGCCAGTTTCCTTGTTTATTTGGCTGAAAAAGAGGACAACGAACAGTTTGAGACGTACGCGGACGCCCTCTGGTGGGGACTGGTGAGACAACACACACAGTGCTCCGTCTTTAAGTTAGAAAACTGGATTGGAAAAAACGAGTGTCCCCCTACAGTCGAGTACGGGGGTGCTGGATGAGGATGTCTTAGTACGGTGTCCTCCAATTCTATAGCAAAGTACACTAGTCTGAACCCGGAGCCCCGTCTCCTCCTCAGCACGGGAACACTTTGATTGGTCCATCTCTGTCTCTCGTCAGATCACCTTGACGACCATCGGCTACGGAGACAAGTTCCCCATCACCTGGAACGGACGCCTGCTGGCTGCAGCCTTCACGCTGATCGGAGTCTCCTTCTTCGCTCTGCCAGCTGTGAGTCCCTCTCACGTGTCCCTGAGTTCACCCGACACAGGTGACCCTCGTCCTAGCTCACCTGTCCGTCTGCCCGTCTGTCTCTCAGGGGATCCTTGGCTCCGGTTTTGCTCTGAAGGTTCAGGAGCAGCACCGTCAGAAGCATTTCGAGAAGAGACGTAACCCAGCAGCCGGACTCATCCAGGTGAACGTCTGTGATGGGACAAACGTCCACGAATCAGTTTGGAGATCCTAGAAAAGAAAAATGCTTTATTGCGACAGATGTCTCCTCTCTGTCTCCCCAGGCGGCGTGGAGGGTTTACGCCACAAACCTGAGCCGAACTGATCTGAATTCAACATGGGATTATTACGAGAGGACCGTCTCCGTCCCCATGTACAGGTGAGACTTGTCCACCTACAGACCACCACAGCTTTCTGTAAACAGGCTTATAATTAAGATTCTGATAATGCCGCCAATACTAATTATGCGTGTGTTTTCAGGTTGATCCCTCCTCTCAATCAGTTGGATTTATTGAGGAACCTCAAGAATAAGTCAGGACTCTCGTTCAGGTCTGAAACGTTGACAGGAAGTACACAAACTTCTACCGCTACTACAACTACCGTTGAACTGTTTAACATTTCTTCTTAATTCAGTGGTTAACAACAATCTGTCTGTGTGCAGGAAAGATGCTCAGCCTGAACCTTCTCCCAGGTCAGTGGACAGTTCTGGCTCAGAACACTATAACACCAGATAATAAAACAGTTGATTTCAACTTCAGCCAGACCGACTCTGTTTGGATCAGGCCTGAATCGGCAGCGACCTGTCAATCACAGTTGCCCCTCCCTAAAGCATCCACTGCTCAATGGTCTACTTCACGCTGGATGGACCATATTTTACTAAATGAACATCATGCTGTATTGAAAAAGACTTGAAACTTGAGATCTAACTAATAAATAAATGATAGCTGATAAATGATAAATGAAGTAAAGGAATTCAGTTGGTTATGGTCACATTGTTCACATTGTTATATTCAAGACCTTTTCTCTCAAATTGATTTCTAAAACTGTCTGTCTGTCTCACTCATTGTCTCTGGTCCCGCAGTCAGAAGGTCAGCCTGAAGGAGAGGGTCTTCTCGTCTCCGCGGGGTTCAGTGACCAAAGGGAAAGGTTCTCCTCAGCATAGTGGGTGTTGTTTTTTGGCCTTTTCAACTGAATGAACGGACAACAGTCACAGGAAGTCGTTACAGGAAACAATTAAACGAAACAAATTCCTGGTGCTTCTCCTTCTTGACTTCCTTCTTACTTACTGTCTCCACCGGCTCCCCCGGTGGCCCCAGGTGTTACCCCTGGCGTTGGTCCTGTAGTTGCTGGAGTACTGGGGAGCGTCCAGGCCCTGCGACAGTCCCCCAGCGTGGAGCCCAATCCGGAGGAGAGTCCCAGCAAGGTTCCAAAGAGCTGGAGCTTCGGAGAACGCAGCAGAACCCGACAGGCCTTCAGGATCCGTGGGGCGGCTTCACGCCAAAACTCTGAAGGTAAGAGGGTCAGAAAGAGGTGATGATGGTGATGAATGATGATAATAATAAAGATAATAGTGGTGGTGGAGGGGATGATGATGGTGATGGTGATGATGATGATGATGATGGTGGTGATGGTGATGATGATCATGGTGGTGATGGTGGTGATGATGATGATGATGATGATGGTGATCATGATAATGATGTTGATGATGATGGTGATGATGATGATGATGGTGGTGATGGTGATGATGGTGATGATGATGATGGTGATGATGATGGTGGTGGTGGTGATGATGATGATGGTGGTGATGATGATGATGATGATGATGGTGGTGATGGTGATGATGATCATGGTGGTGATGGTAATGATGGTGGTGATGATGATGATGATGGTGATCATGGTGATCATGATAATGATGTTGATGATGATGGTGATGATGATGGTGATGATGATGGTGGTGGTGGTGATGATGATGGTGGTGATCATGGTGGTGATGATGGTGATGATGGTGGTGGTGATGATGATCATGGTGGTGATGGTAATGATGGTGGTGATGATGATGATGATGGTGATCATGGTGATCATGATAATGATGTTGATGGTGATGATGATGATGATGGTGGTGATGGTGATGATGATGGTGATGATGATGGTGGTGGTGGTGATGATGATGGTGGTGATGATGGTGGTGATGATGGTGATGATGGTGATGATGGTGGTGGTGATGATGGTGGTGGTGATGATGGTGATGATGGTGGTGGTGATGATGGTGATGGGGGTGGCGGCGATGGTGGGTAGAGTAGATTCCTCTGAGGTTTGTCTCCTCTCTCCTCCTCTAGTGCTGATTGAGATGCAGGATGAAGAGTTCAGACAGAAGAGCTCCCCAGGTCAGCATGTTGCACACACACACACACACACACACACACACACACATATTCATAGTATAGAGCTCTATATATTTCATGTGCGACACAACGAAATATATTCTTTGTCCAACTGATCAAATTAAATACATGATCTATGTGCCACGTTCTCATTGAGATATTGATCTGACAACGGCAGCTGTTTGTAAACATCATGTCAGCATTGTAGTTTATCCGTAATAACCCGCCGTTATTTGCGGGTTTTCTTCAAAAAACACAACAATGTTTCCTCGCTCACAGCTCCTCCACCCCGAGAGGCTTTTTAGGAACTAGGATGTCGGAGGACAGAGGAGACGAGGAGATGAGGAAGCACAAAATCTAGACGAGAGAGAGCGATTATTATTATTGTTGTTGTTGTTGTTGTTGCTTTAGACGCCAGCCTGCCAGGAGAAGACATGACTGACGACAACAAGAGCTGCCACTGTGAGTTCATCCCTCAGGATCTGACCCCGGGGTTAAAGGTCACCATCAGAGCCATCTGGTATGAACCGCTTACTGTTTATTTTCACTAAGTCATTTATTTATCAGTTTACCTGCTCATCCTTCATCACTTTGCTCATTGTTTATTTGCCGGTTAGTATGCACTTGACCCATTCTGCTTTTTATTCACAATATTATTTTGTTTTTGTTTTTTATTTGTGCTCACCCCAGGGTCAAAGGTCACCATCAGATGTTGGGTAAGAGCAGGTAGTCTGGGCTCCAGTTAGCTTCATTGTTTTCTGTTCCAATGTTTTCTGTTGTCTGACACCAAAGGTCATTCTTTTAAGAAAATGTGCTGTCTTATTATCCTTCTTCTGGTTTCGTCTTCGTTGATTGTTACTCCTCCTGCTTCCTTTAATTCCTCTTTCCTCTCCGTCCTCCATCTTACTTCTTCTTGCTTCATGTTCTTCATTCATCTTTATTCATCTTCTTCATTTTTTATTATGATTATCATCACCATCATTATTTATATACGATGATCCTGATGATTACATCACCATTATTGATGTTGTTGGTGTCCGCCCTACGGAGAAGTGTTTTTTAGTCCTACTATAGCTCCTCTCCTGTCTGTCAAATAAAGATGAAGTTCTGTCAAATGATTCATAGCATCATGTATCAGAACCAGATTCTGTTTGGATGTGACGACCAGCAACCCTCAGCACATGAACGACACCTCCTAAATGTAGAGTTCATACGCTTCGCCTCTGGGTTTCCTGGTTTGGGACTCAGCATTGAATGCTAACCTTGCTCAAGGGAATTATTCGTATTGGGCCGTAGTCATTTTGTCACTGACTTCTCTAAAAACAACCCTGTCTTCTGACCCTGCTGGTGTGACCCAGAAGCCCCTCCCTCTGGTCCAGACCCATAGTCGTAAGACCAACTAGGTCTGTAAGAGGACTGTGGGTGCCTGAGACCACCTGAGCTCCTTCAGACGGTGACCTCCTGTTCTCTCTTCCTCAGCATAATGCGCTTCATGGTGTCCAAGAGGAAGTTTAAAGAGAGCCTTCGTCCCTACGATGTAATGGACGTGATCGAACAGTACTCAGCTGGACACTTGGACATGCTCGCCCGCATCAAGAATCTCCAGTCAAGGTCCAACTGCTGACCCTCTTGAGTGTGCAATTAAAGATGTTCTAGATGTTCCAGGATCAAACATCGAAAACCACATTTACCCGCGCTATCTCCTGATATGCAGGGTGGACCAGATAGTTGGCAGAGGGACACCGACCGCAGACAAGGACCGTCTCAAAACGGCCAACGAGGACCTTCCCGAGGATCCCAGCATGATGGGCCGGCTGGGGAAGGTGGAGAAGCAGGTAACCAACGGCAACAGGTCTATTGAGCGGCAAACCCAGTGATTTCTGTTGATGCAGATGCCAAGCTTGAATCTGTCCGGTACCCCCGCTGGTCTCGTCCATCAGGTGCACTCCATGGAGAGAAAGCTGGACTTCCTGGTCAACATCTACATCCAGCGGATGGGAATCCCCCAGGCCGAGACCGACGCCTACTTCGGATCCAAGGAGCCGGACCCGGCCCCCCCCTACGACAGTCCAGTGGATCACCTGGAGAAGAGCCAGTCCATCTCCAAGATCTCACAGTCAGTGTCTGCCATAGCTAGAGAATCACAGAACCAGTACACACCTGTCGTTCATAACATATTGTTTACATGTTAACCTGTGGGCGTGGTCGCTTTTGTTTGTATGTTAAGGGGGTTGCCAGGCGACCACACCGAGAAGAATCGTCTGGTGACAAAGATGGTCCACTCCAGCAGCTCCACCGGACACGGGAACAACGGCGGCCCCACCTGCCCACCTTCCACCTCCTGGCAGCCAATCAGCTCCCAGCTCCATCAGCAGCTACCACCTCCTGCCCACCGTAGCCACGGCAACACTCCGAGTCCAGTGGGGGACGGGTCGCTAGTTCGGTTGCCACCTCCTCCGGCCGGAGAGAGACACAGTGGGAACCGGTCGAAGCGGCACAGCGCCGGAGACCGAGTGGCGTCAGAGAGACTGGAGAAGGACGGCAGGACGGGAGGAGAAGGAGGTGGTGGTGGAGGCGAGGAGGTGAAGCCGGACAGTGACGCCTCTGTTTCCATACAGTCCATGGACCACGAGGACCTGGAGCACTCCTTCGGTGGCTTCTCCACCTCCAAGTCCAAAGACAACCTGAACTTCCTCAACAATGGCTTCTACTCCTCCGCCAACCACAAAGGAGGTGGAGGCGCCAGCAGTGCCACTCTCCGGCCATACATTGCAGAGGGAGAGTCGGACTCTGACTCGGAGCTCTGCGCTCCGTCGCCACATTCGGACCAGGACTGGACCGGGACCAAGTAGAACACCAAGTAAGCGAGAGCTTCACCCAGCAGAACAATTGAAGTGGTTGAAACTGTGAATGAAAATTAATACTTTAAACACCAGCTGGAGTCTTAAGAGTGAAGCATCATGGGAAATGTTAACGGTACAAATCACCGGATTTCACGCTGGTTTTAATCATGTTTTTACATGAAATGTTTGTTCTCACTGTCACTGGTGACGGGTCACTGTGACACGCTGGCCCCTGATTGGTTCTCTGCTTATTTTATTGTTTTGAAAAAGAAACTGAGGCAAAGGATGATGGGAACATTGAACACATCACCATGCCGAAGACCATCTACAATCTAATGCATTGATTCAAATGATCAAATACCTTGAAATCCACTATGGTCCAAAGCTGAGGTGGAGTTGCTACAGCTGTAGTTACAAGCCTCCACCCAACACCAAAACAGAACAACATATGGTCAAATTAAACTACAAATGTTGTATAGAAACATTGTCCCAACATATAAAAATGTATCCTTGACAAAAGAAAAAAATAGTAGTATAATATACATACAAGAAATATAATATAAATAAACGTACGATTACAGAGAACGCTTACTGAGCAAATCAAAGAACCAAAACGTAGCTTAGCTTTAGCCTATTTTTTATTTTCATAGGAATTTTGTGCAATATAGAAATGTATTTTTTGTTTGCTTTTACTGATTTGAACTCACCCATTCGTCACAAAGCTCTGTTGGAATAAGGAGCAGTTAGCCCAACATGCTAACGTCAGAAGCATACATTAGCAGGCTATTCTAGTTTTACCTAAACATCATTAGCAAATCAGAAGTTGATAATCAGTCCCACATGCTATTTTTGTATGATGCATATGGATTCATAAATACCAACAGGTAATCAACACAGCGACAGGAATGTAAATGATGAAATGCCGAAGAGACAAACTCATCCGTCTCAGGAAAACCAAAACAGGACAAACCTACCAAAATAAGAGTCTCTTTTACGTCCTTCGCTCCCTTTGCTTCCCTCCGGACAAAGAGTTCAACATTTCTGACCAGCAGTAGTTTGGCCTTACGGGGGCGTTAAGCCACGCCCACCGGGAGCCACAGGTACCAGGCGTAAACGTGTCACCATCTGGAAGATGACGGACAGATGTTGAGGCTCGAGTTCATCCGCCGAATATAAGATAAACATTGTGTTCATTAACTGGCTTCATTGTAAGTCGCTTTGGATAAAAGCGTCAGCTAAATGACATGTAATGTGACGTAATGTAACTGCATCGACATTTCTCAGCTACGAAGGTTGAACGTGGGCACATCTCATTTGTCCTTTCTGTGGAGTTTTGTTTTTCCAGCAAAGAAAACGCAAACACTTTTTTACAGAAGTAAAATTCACTTGTGTGTCCGAGCGTTCAAACAACTTTATAGGCTACATTGTTTGGTTGAATCACCTGGAAAGGGTTTTAAACAACTGATTTTGTTTCCACGGTAACCGTCGGTCAGTTCAGACATTTTATTTTGGGGGAAAAAGCAGGACGTGTACATTGTTTCACACAAACTATCTTTGTACAGAACTTTGCCTGTTTGTATTTCAATATTAATTAAAAACATTTAACCACAAAACATCTGATGAACCGTCTTTGTTCTTTTGTCTCCAGCCAACGTGGAGTGTAAAGGCCCCCAAGATGTTCATTTAGTAACATGATGGTCATTTCAACAGACCACAAAGCAGGGGATGCTTTAGGGCGGGGCTTACTGGGATTGACAGGTCGCTGCTACTGCTACACATACTAAACTGCAACTTTTTTACAACTTCTTATAAGTTTGTTTGCTGAGAACAGTTGAGTATTTGATTTGTTTTGCTTTTTTCAACATACAATTAAGTTTTGCATGTTATACTACGACTATTGATATTTTATATAATATACTAGGCTGACACTTGTTACGGTTATGTATCGTTTTTCTACATATTGACATGAACAAGTCCATTACAATGTATGAAATGGCTTTTATTTTGTTAAACCAATTCCTCAACATGCTTTTTAGGATATACAACATTTCTATGACAAATTGTACCGTTGACTTCATGATCGATAATCCTGCGTATTTCAGGGCTCACGTTCATGACATTTGTAACCTTGTTATGACGTCGCTCTTTAACACCGTGAGAAGAAACTAGACGTGTTTAATACAGATCAAAACTTTATTTAAAACGTCATGAACAGAACAGCTGGAAGAGATTTACAGAGAACAGCTTCTCAGGGCGGCCATCTTGGAATTCACTTCTTCTTGTACCTGACGGACGGAACGGAGACTTTCAGTCAATGAGGGACCACAGATGTCCAATCAGAGACAATAAGGCGCCTTTCATTCCACTGGAACCGCTCTCTTTCCTCACTAAGGCCCAAAGACTTTGTCTTGGTTTTTACGTCTTGGTCTTTTAAATGACTTTAGGATCAAAAATTCATCACAATGAAAGAGTCATTTGGCCGCAAGTCTTCAACATTTAAACAGACGTCTGTCCAAAATGCCTTCTGGCGATCCGTATCCAGGTGTCATTACACATCCAGGAGAGAGAGACGGACAGAGACACTCACCTGGAGCCGCCCGGACGCTTCCCGTCCCCAAAGGACCGTCTGTAAGCGGAAAGAGACAGGTGAGACAGGTGTACTAATAGAGAGACAGAGAGAAAGACAGACGGGACACAAAACTCACTTTGAGCCGCCCGGACGCTTCCCGTCCCCAAAGGACCGTCTGTAAGCGGAAAGAGACAGGTGAGACAGGTGTACTAAAAGAGAGACAGAGAGAAAGACAGACGGGACACAAAACTCACTTTGAGCCGCCAGAACGCTTCCCGTCCCCAGAGGACCGTCTGTAATCTGGTCTGTAAGAAGGAAGGCAGGTGAGACAGACACACAGCGAGAGAGACAGCCGGACAGACAGAGAGAGACTTTTAAACTCACGTGGAGCCGCCAGGACGTTTCTTGTCTTCGAAGGACGGCCTGTGAACAGAAAGAGACGGGTGAGACAAGTGGACAAGAGAGAAAGAGACTCGCAGGGAGACTTTTGAACTCACTTGGAGCCGCCAGGACGCTTCTTGTCTTCGAAGGACGGTCTGTGAACAGAAAGACGGGTGAGACAAGTGGACAAGAGAGACAGAGAGAAAGAGACTCGCAGGGAGACGGTTAAACTCACTTGGAGCCGCCAGGACGCTTCTTGTTTAAACCGAGGCGCTTCCTGTCTTCAAAGGACGGTCTGCGTGGTGAGACAGGTGTACAGTTAAAGACAGACAGCTAAACAAACGATGCTGGACCAGGTATCATCGTATGACAGACAGGTGTAGGGACACAGAGACAGACAGGTGGACTCACCCCGATCTGTACTGTTTCAGGGCCTTGTTGCTGGTGTTTGTCAGCTCTTTGTCAAACACAGACTTCTTTCCTCCTTTTCCTGCTTTAGGATTGACTGCAGAGACACTTCAGTTCAGTACATCGGACAGTACTGCTGTAGTACGTGCACGCGTCCTATAGTCCTCACGTAGTACGTGCACGCGTCCTATAGTCCTCACGTAGTACGTGCACGCGTCCTATAGTCCTCACGTAGTACGCGTCCTATAGTCCTCACGTAGTACGCGTCCTATAGTCCTCACGTAGTACGCGTCCTATAGTCCTCACGTAGTACGCGTCCTATAGTCCTCACGTAGTACGCGTCCTATAGTCCTCACGTAGTACGTGCACGCGTCCTATAGTCCTCACGTAGTACGTGCACGCGTCCTATAGTCCTCACGTAGTACGTGCACGCGTCCTATAGTCCTCACGTAGTACGTGCACGCGTCCTATAGTCCTCACGTAGTACGTGCATGCGTCCTATAGTCCTCACGTAGTACGTGCACGCGTCCTATAGTCCTCACGTAGTACGTGCATGTGTCTTATAGTCCTCACGTAGTACGTGCATGTGTCTTATAGTCCTCAGGTAGTACGTGCACGTGTCTTATAGTCCTCAGGTAGTACGTGCACGTGTCTTATAGTCCTCACGTAGTACGTGCACGTGTCTTATAGTCCTCACGTAGTACGTGCACGTGTCTTATAGTCCTCACGTAGTACGTGCATGTGTCTTATAGTCCTCACGTAGTACACGTGCGTCTCATATCTGACCTTTAGCAGCCATCTCCTCCTCTGCCATGGCCCTCGCTCTCTTCGGGCGCCGCTCTCTCTTCGCCGCTCTCTCAGCAAACATCTGAGCCTTCAAGATCTCGAACTGAGCTCGTTCCTCCGCCTGAGGGAACGAACATCAGTTCAAACTCTCACTGCAGTAACTTCCAGCAGTTAGTTGGTCCCCAGTGAACAATTTCTTCACCTAAATCGACTGTCAACGTTAAATGAATGGGGCATATTATTATATTACCTTTCACGTGGTGCGTTCAGGTGAAATGGGAAAGAATGACGCTGGTCTCTGTGTATTTATTGTTGTTTACGTGTTTGGCTGTAGTGACTGTGCAGGATTCGTGGTTGTTACCGTCGGGTCTTTCTTCTTGCCCTCCTTCAGGAATTGTTGTCTCTTCTTCTTCCCCCTCAGAGCGAGATCGAAGTCCTGCAGGGCCTTCGACACTGAGGTGGAGACGGACCCGTTAAGACGGTACTGCCGAGTACTACGGACGGTGAAGTACTAGACCGAGGCCAGTAGTGTGTATTAGTACTCACCACGGCTCTGCTTCCTCTCCTGTTGAGTTTGAAACCAAACGCGCTGCAGTTGGTCGGCGTCGGCGGATCCCGCGAGGCGCTTCTGAGCTACACTCAACTACACAACAACAACAACAACAGTTTATAATCAATCACCAACGTTTGCTGTTACACACTATTATAGCAGCTTTAACTGTGGGTAACCATGGCGACAAGTATCGTTACGCCGTGACTGATCACCTTTGCCTCGGACGCAGCCATCTCCCTCTCCTCCCGCTCCAGCCGGATCACGGCCTCCACGTCCTTCTCCAGCTTAGTGATCAGGTCTCTGAACTTCAAGATGACATCTGGGCGAGAGACGCAGAGGGAGAACAGGTCACCTTCCTCTCATTAAATCAACTTTCTCTTGCAGGCTCCCTGAACTACAAGCCCCCCCCCCCTCTCTCCCCCCCGTAGATACCTGGCGGCAGGACTCGAGCCTTCACGCTGTTCTTGGCCGACTTCACCACCTCCTTCAGGGTCCTCCTCTCCGACTCCCCGACCAGAGACACCGAGCGGCCCGAGCGGCCGGCTCTGGGCGTCCGGCTAACGCGGTGAACGTAGTGCTTCGTGGTGGACGGCATGGTGAAGATTATCACCTGGGGTGTAAGGAGCGGTGCGAAGATTCTCTCTTTGCACAAGGGCAACCCTATAAAGAAACCTAGCGTTTCATTAGCAGGTCGGAGCTCACTGTTTTGACTCCGTCGATATCCAGACCTCTGGCTGCAACATCTGTGGCCACTAAGATGTCGATCTGATCATCTTTAAAGCGCCTGTAAACAACAACAACAACAACCGGTTTCAATAACACTCACTTTCTGTGTGTGTACCTGAGGTTCCCCAGCCTCTGGTTCTGTGTGTACCTGAGGTTCTCCAGCCTCTGGTTCTGTGTCTGTGTACCTGAGGTTCTCCAGCCTCTGGTTCTGTGCGTGTGTGTACCTGTGGTTCTCCAGCCTCTGGTTCTGTGTGTGTGTACCTGAGGTTCCCCAGCCTCTGGTTCTGTGTGTGTGTGTGTACCTGAGGTTCTCCAGCCTCTGGTTCTGGCTCAGTTCTCCGTGCAGTTCTCCGACCTTCAGGCCCATCAGTCCCAGCAGGATGTGCAGCCTGTGAGCTTGTTTCCTCGTCTGAGTGAAACACATCACGTGATCCTGGAACGTCCGAGTCAGCAGAGCTGAGACAACCAACGAGTTAGTACACGGTATGCGTAGTACTACACGGTACTTGTGGGTTACGTGTACCCACCAGCCACCACGGCCTCCCGGTCTCCTTCCCGGTTTTGTCGGATTCGGACAAACTCTTGTCGCAGAAACGGAGCAACGTCGGTGTTGCTGTTCACGAAGATCCTGATTGGCTGCTTCAAAGAGACGGCCGCCAGGTCCTTCACCTGGAGACAGGGGTCACATGACACGTTGAGACACCAGGAGACAGAGGTCACATGACACACTGAGACACGAGTCACATGACACACACCTCCTCCGTCATGGTGGCGGAGAACAACATGGTCTGTCTGTTGTAGGAGCACAGTCTGATGACCTCCTTCATCTGTTCCTCAAAGTACTCGTCCAGCATCCTGAGAGGAGCAGGGACACAAAGCAGGACGCAGCAGGTGAGTCTCCGACCCGTTGTCACGGGGCGGGATTCTGTGAGGCCTCGCCGCTCACCTGTCCGCCTCGTCCAGGATCAGGATCTCGATGTGGGTCAGCTCGAAGGTCGGCGTGTTGTGCAGGTGATCGATCAGACGGCCGGGCGTCGCTATCAGCACGTCAGGACCGGCCCTCAGCGCAGCCTCCTGAGACTTCAGGTCCAGCCCACCTGCACACACAACGGGACGGGTTACCTGGGGACCGGCGTCCCACTGAGCCCGGCATGGGACTTTTGTATAAAACACAGACCAAACCAATAAAGGTCTTTACCGACAGCCAGGCAGGTGGTGATGGAGGTGAACTGGGCGAGCTGACGGGCCACCGAGTGCACCTGGATGCCCAGCTCTCTGGTGGGAACCAGACACAGGACCCGGGTCACCTGGGACGTCCTGGGCTTATAAACCAAGCGCTCCAACACCGGCAGCATGAAGGCCGCCGTCTTCCCTGAAGAGACGCGAGAGGAATGTTTACTGTGGATCTACACGGCTCTGCTGGCGTTTATTAGTCCCGGCGTGATGCACTGGTCCCAGTGTGCCAGTCCCACCTGTCCCAGTAGCAGCGCAGGCACACAGGTCTTTGCCCAGCAGGCCGACAGGAATGCACGCCTTCTGGATGGGAGTCGGCTGCTTGAAGCCCAGAGCTGTGATGGCCTGAAAGGACACAACAGGGGGTTAAACACAAGAACTATATGGATTAGTTGCCAACAGCAGCATGAGGTTCAGAGGGAGATACTGTAAAGTTTCTTAACACTCTCTGCTCACACAGACACACCCCTCAGGTCAGAGGTCGCGGTTACCTTCAGGATGGGTCGGGACAGGTTCATGTTGTCAAAGGTCAGGTCCTCGTTGAAATCCGACGCGTCTTCGTAGAACGACTCTGGCTGAGGACACAGCACAGCCGTTACCGTGGTAACAACATAAAATAGATTCCGTGTGAACCCGATGACATCATCAGCTGCTCCTCCTCACCTCGTTTTCCAGCTTCCTCCTCTTCCCCCGTCGTTCTTTGTCTCTCAGGGTGTCTGAGAGAAAACAGTAAGTCAGTTAAAACTAGTAATAAACATTTATTAAAGAATTAAAAAATAAATAAGGGCAGTAAAGCTCGGGGGAGCGTTACATGATGAAAGTTTAATTGTATTGGATTTAGATGTAAAGTTGGAAAATGTGGTAAAAAGACATTTAAAATAAATGAAAAAGTTTCCACCTCCGAGTCACAAATCCAAATAAAAGCCTCTGCTGGACTCACCCGATTTGGTCAGAATCTCCTCGTCACTTGAATCAAACTCATCTTCGTCTTCACCATCTTCCCCCTCGTCGTCCTCTTCATCATCACCTCCATCGGCGTCCCCCTCAGGAGGCTTTACGTCCTCTCCAGCCTCCTCCTCCTGGTTCTTCCCTTCATCGGCGTCAACCAATTTCTCCTGAAGATCAAAAAAACGATTACCTTCAGGGTCAGGGGTGGAGCCTCGAGGGGCGGAGCCTCGAGGGCCAGAGGTAGAACCCAATGACTCACCTGGGCCTTCCTCTTCTTACGGATTTTCTCGATCTTCTGGTCGAGTGTGGTCGCGGTTCTCTGCAAACAAAGAACATGATTAAAACACAGAATGAGAACGGGGGAGGACCAAAAGACCAACGAAGAAGAACATCCGAGGATCAAAACCCTGCAGACGAGCATTGGATTAAAGACAAATGTGTCTGATGAAAAAATATCAAACACCCACTGATGGAAGAACATGATACTAAAGTCCGCAACAGCAGTGTATGATTCTTTAAAGAAATGGGATGTGATCGATGATGGTTTGGTTTTTAACGTCTGCGCGTGTTCTGCCGGGTTCCACCTTGTTCTTGAGCTGCTTCATGACGTCCTGCATGGCCCAGTCCTCCCCGCGGCTCGGCCCGTCACTCTCTCCAAACTCAAAGTCTGCATTGAAGTCCTTCACGCCGCGGCTCCCCAACTTCTTCTTCCTGTTCAGGACGATCGGCTGGTCCTGAAAAACACACAAAAACAAAACTCATTAATACACACAAATAGGTACACGCAAAGGGAACAACTCGCAAACCTGCACATGCAATTTGAATACATGTTGAATAAAATGGTTTGTCAAATATAACAATGTACACCAGGTGACACTTTCATCACTGTAACATGAAACAAATGTATTTTATAATAATATTAATTAAATAAACATCAATGTCCGGATCCCCTCATGTATTTTATACTTTTAAAAATGACCGATTTGAAACTATAACGAGCTCAACGACACGTTTATTATCATTTAATTTAACTCAAATCTTTCAAATGAAGAGGTAAAACGTCTCAACCGTAGATGTGAGTATTTTTACAAAACCGGATTGACGGTTACTTCAGTCACTTTATTAAGACCTTTTATTTCTGTAAAGAAAGCTGTTGTCACGTGTTCGTTTAGCGAAGATTGTTATTGAATCCAAAACCTCCGGGACGTGACAGCGGCTCATGTACTGTTCTCCAGCCGGGCTCCGGTTCGCCTCGGCCCGCCCGGTGGGGGTCGTGTCTCGGCCCTACTCACCTCCTGGTCGGACTCGGTATCGGGTTCCTCCGGACTCTCGTCCTCGTCCCGCAGGGTCCCGATCAGGCCCAGCTGCTCCAACATGGCGGACTTCTCTTCGGTACCGGCTCGCTTTGCTTCGTGGTGCGATTCTAAAAGCGACTGTGTGAAGTTCCTCCGCCGTTTTCTCTCCGCACACACACGCAAACACACACACACGCAGACACACGTGTGTTGACGGAAACAGGACGTGAGAGTGGTGTGTTTCCGGTTCACGTTCTTCTTCTACGTTTCATTGGCAGCGTTGATGAACAGCGTTGAGACGCAGTACCGCCGCCCACTGACGTGGAAGTGGAACTACACCCTAATATGACGGAAATACAAAAACTAACAATGCTACACGATAATATATAATAAATACAAATAAATAATCCAGACCTGATGATGTTGAATGATGGATTGGGGGTGCTGCAGTATATCAACGATAACTGTGATATTTAAAAATGAAATATGGATTTCCCATTAAGATAAAATGATCTCTCCCAAAATGTAACTCTGTACCTCCACCACCTCCTCTCCTCATCTACGGGAAACTACAACAGCTCCACCCACGATATATTGATTTCAGCAGGGGTCCATCAGTCATCCACCTTCCTCCCTTCTTGAGCTCACACTGCTCACATATCCTGCACACACTACTGAATTACCTTATATTTCACTTTTCATGCTGATACTCCGGTTTGTTTTTGTACTCACAACACAGTTGTGTGTTGTAGTTGTACTACGTATTGTACTACGTGTACAGTCTTCTGTACCTTGCACCTTCAGCGTGTAGTCGGATGTTTGCTCCGCTCCTACTGAAAGTTGCATCAATCAGAGGATTATTTTTCCTCTTTCTTTAACCGGCGTCGCACAGTTCAATGAAAATGTCGTCGATTAGAGGAACGTTGTTGAGTTTATTACACGGAACCTTTTGTGTTGAAGAGTTCTTCAACTCATGTTTGTAATGTGAATTAATCACGAAATTATAATTCGTCAGTTCTTCAACCTCCAAGAGTGTTTCTGCAACTCTGATAAGTGAGTGTGTGTGTGGGCGTTTTGTTGCTTATGTTGTGGAGACATAACACACTCACATTGTGAGGAGTGTTTGACAGCAAAGCTGGATCCCACACACACACACACACACGCACACGCACACACACACACACACACACACACACACACACACACACACACACACACACACACAGAGGACTCTGACACTGACCTTAAACACCAGATTTCGTGGAAAGTGGATTCTCTCAGTGACACAATGAGGTCAATTATTATTATATAATACTATATTTTCATTAACACGATGACCCCTCGGAATATTTTAAGTTAAATTTGTCAATGTCACCATAATGGCTGGAATTTCCCCTTTTACACACTTACGTTCTCTGAATCTTAACTTCACTGTGAAATACACTCTGTCTCCCACAGAAAGGGAGGAGGAGGAGGGGGAGGGGGAGGAGGAAGAGGAGGAGTTCGTCCCCTGGGATAAAGCTTTGCACAGGGAGAGGACAGTCAGTGTGAACAGGGACAGAAGAAGGAGAACACATCAGCTCACCGACAGGAGCTCCGCCCCCAGTCTGCTGATCTGTGAGTTTCATCACTCAAACACTCACAGCTGCTCCTCAAACCAGACCGAGAGACAGACACACAGAGACACGGAGACAGGCAGACAGAGAGACAGAGAGACAGAGACAGGCAGAGAGACACACAGAGACAGGCAGAGAGAATTGGCCTCTCATCATGGACAGGTGAGTACTGAAGCTGAACTGTAGAGTTGAGTCTGTTTCCTGTGAGACGTTTTCAGATGAACCTGTGCGACCATAAAGCGTCCCCGGCTTTATGGTCTGTTTGACTTTAAATGGAGCATAAATCACTAAATGAACATCACGCTGTGTTGGAGAAGACTTGAAACTAGAGACTGAGATCATAAACTGTTGTTTACAATGTTTACTGAGGGAATAAATCAAGAGAGAGTCATTTTCTCATAGACGTCTATGGGCGCAGAGGAGTCGCCCCCTGCTGGTCACCACACAGAATGCAGGATTGAACACATGAAGCATCACCGTCACTCTGCAGAACTGGAAGCTATGTTTTTTTGTCTTTTTAGTCAGTACTAACCAGTACTACTGGTTAGGAGTACTTAGTCTTGTACAACAGTAGCTGTCTGTACTTTATTGTTTGTAAAATAATACATGAATGTTACATGGCAACAAATAACTCAAAACCCTACTGTTGTATAGACGTACTTCAGGGTTAATTAGCAGTACTCTCCTGTTTTATAGTACTTTAGTTTGAGTAAAATAGTATTTAGGGGTTGTATTGCAGTACTTTAGTGCTGTAAATGGTGGAGCTGATTTATAGTACTTCGTAGTTACTAAGTTTGACTGTTGTTCATTTTGCTTTGCTTTAGCATCTGCTTTATTGAATCCCATTGCAGTTTAAAATATGGGGTCAGAGGTCAGGGAGCTTTTGAACTGAGCCTCATTTAATTAAAGGTTAGCTGTTAGCAGATGTCCAGATGTGGATGACGCAGTAGCTGGATGGTGATTGGCTGTCAGCCCTGAGCTGTAATTAAACACACAGATTACAGAGCGAGTGTGTTTGTGTGGTTCTGTGTGAGAACTTTCTGTTTTTTCAAAGGCTATTTGAAGCTTAAGTCCAGATAATTAAAGTGGGTGTGTATGTTTATCTTTCAAAGACATGTCGTCTCTACATTTCCATCTTCACCTTTGTGTTATTCACACGCACAGTTTTCCTCCCGAACTTTGTTCGCAAACTCTCACTGAAGGATTCTAATTGACAAAGAATCCCTTTAATCCACGTTGCATACATTTCATCACGTAGCTTCATGACATCCATCACATTAATGACGTCAACATCTGAGTGTCGCTGTAACATAAAACCAACCAATCCTGTAGCATCAACTCTGTGTTTCTGCTGTTAGCATAAAGGTCATTGTGATGAAATGTTTCCCTTGGTGCTAAGTTTTTTTTTTTTTACTTAAACTGTACCCTTCAGATTTAATTTCTCTTTAAAAGCTCTGGTAGTGGCAGTGAGCTGTCAATCACAGTAAGCCCCGCCCCAGAGGGCAGAAGAGGGGGATGTTATGAAACGGAGGTAAATCCAGTTCAAGTGGACAACACAGTCTTAGAATATGTTCAGCTGTGAGTTATGTAGCTACAAGAAGGCCCTAAGATCGACCTGCTCATTGTGACCTCTGACCTCTTCTCACCAGCTTCCCCTTTACAGCCGAGGACAGTTTGTCTTGTAAACGTTGTGTTTGTGGATAGTTTATCTGCTCACAGTCCAACAGTTAGCTAGAAGCTATAGAAGCTAGACGCTGTAGGAGCTAGACGCTGTAGAAGCTAGACGCTGTAGGAGCTAGACGCTGTAGAAGCTAGACGCTGTAGGAGCTAGACGCTATAGAAGCTAGATGCTGTAGAAGCTAGATGCTGTAGAAGCTAGACGCTGTAGGAGCTAGATGTTATAGAAGCTAGACGCTGTAGAAGCTAGGAGCAACTGGACAACCACAACCGCTGAATCCAGCAGCTGATCTTCTTCTTCTTCAGGTTGAGATGTTCCGACACAGGATGACCGTCCTTCTATTGTCCCTCCTCTTCCTCCTGGTGTCCTCCATCATGGCCTCCAATCAACCCGCCGGCTGCAAAATCAGAATTACTGACAAAGGCCTAGACATGTGTGAGTTGATGGATATTTCGTTACTCCCCAAGAAAATGTAGACTGTAAAACCGCCCTTAATATTTGGACCGTATCTTCACTCTATTTAGTTCTTCGAGCAAAGTCCTGCTGGGGGCAACAACTGTAGCAGCTCACCCGTACTTACTGTAGTACTTTGAGTACTACGTCTTGTGGATGAAGTACTTCTGTGTTTTGTGTCTCCAGTGAAGTTCGAGACTCAGAAGTTCGTAGAAGAAGAGCTCAGCAACATCACGATGCCGGAGATGAAGGGCAAAGAGGGACGCTTCCAGTACACCATCACCAAGTACAGGCGCCACGTTGAGTTTACGGTCACGCTGCGGTCTGTGAATATGTGTGTTGACGCCTTCCGTTTGTCCTGTGTGTCGTCAGCGTGAAGATAACCGAGTTGAATCTGACTCACGCCGAGCTGCAGTTCATCCCTGACGTCGGTCTGCTGTTCGACGTCCAGAACTCGTCCATCTCGCTGAGTTTCCACCGACAGATCCTCTACTGGTTCTTGTTAGTTCTGCTGCAGAAGACACCGACACTCACATGACTGGGACGGTTCCCCAACGGGACGATATGAGTTCTACTTTATTACTAGTATGCTTCCACAGAGCGTAAATATAAAGAATAATTCCCACATTACTGTTATTAGAACTCTTATAGATCTTCTACAAAAACTTTAATACAACCTTTTATGGTTCTGGGTTCTATGGAAACACTTTTATTGGACCTCAATAGTACTTTTCCTACCAACGTTGGACAATGATGTCATAGGTCACGTAAAAAGAGGCCGTTTTACCCTCAAAGCATCTCTGAACTCAACAGAGGGATTGAGTGGATCCTCCTCATGGTTCTATCGGTGGGATCTTTCCGAAGCCGAATCCTGGAGCTTTTGTGTTTTAGAAGGTCGTCGCCGTGGCGACAGGCCGTGACTCCCCTTTGCATTGTCCAATCCGCACCCACATGTCACATTCTCAATAAGAGGAAACGGCGGCCGACTTTTCATTTGCATCAGCGGCACGACGTGTCGTGTCCTCTAGCGCCACATGGTGGACACAGGAAGTGGTCGTCCTTCATGCTGTCTCTCTGTTGCTCAGTTACGACACAGGAAACATCAACGCGTCGGCCGAGGGAGTGAACATCAACACGGCGCTGAGTCTGATCCGGGACGACGAGGGACGACTGAAGATCAGTAACATCACCTGCGATGCCAAAATCGCCAAGATGAGGGCAAAGTTCAGCGGGACGTTGGGGTAAAACACAGCGACTCTGTAACTGCTGTCAATGGGGGGATTGTACTGTTATTAAGGATCAGTAATCAATAACGACAAATGATTACGTCACATGTGGTCACAGCTGTCTGTCAACACCTTCTGTCTTCAGGAAGGTTTACGACTTCCTGGCCAGCTTTCTGACAACGGGGATGCGCTTCCTCCTCAACAAACAGGTGTGTCTCTCAACTGTCTCTGACTCCTCGGTCTTTCTCATCGTTCTGTCCGTCTGTCTCTACCTGTCTATCTCTCTCCGTCTGTCCCTCAGATCTGTCCCGCTCTGAATCACGCCGCGCTGGTCCACGTGAACTCGATGTTGGAGACGATCCCCGTGAGGACGGAGGTCGATCAGTTCATCGGTATTGATTACGCTCTGATCGACGACCCAATAGTGACGTCCAGGAGCCTCGACATGAACTTCCGGGTCAGACGCCCACTCTGAGGACACGTCTCGCGGTCTTCTGGTGTGGGGAGGAGGGTAACGCTTGTGTCCTCTGTGCAGGGGATGTTCTTCACCCTGTCGGACCCGAACAGCACGTTGGTGAACTACGCCGTGGACCCGGTGATCAGGGAGTACGACCGCATGGTCTACCTCGCGCTGTCCGAGTACTTCTTCGACAGCGGCATGTATTCTTACTACAAAGCGGAAGTCTTCCAGATGCACATATTCAACGAGAAGGTCAAACCGCAGACCCACCAAACCACCACCAAACCCCGAATGTTCCACACATCCACCTCCTCCCCCCCTCCAAACTCGCCCCTAAGATTCACCCCAAAGAACCAGTCCGATCCGGTCTGACTTCTGTTTGTGTCGTCCTTTAGATGCCCAAAGACCTGGAGATGTTGTTGAAGACCACCTACTTTGGAGCCATCATGATGCTGGTGAGCAGAAACACAGCTGGAACACAGCGGGGGACACGTTAAAGAGACAGAAGAGACACAGTGGGGACACGTTAGGGAGACAGTAGAGACACAGCGGGGACACGTTAGAGACAGTAGAGACACAGCGGGGACACGTTAGAGACAGTAGAGACACGGCGGGGACACGTTAGAGAGACAGTAGAGACACAGAGGGGACACGTTAGAGAGACAGTAGAGACACAGAGGGGACACGTTAGAGAGACAGTAGAGACACAGCGGGGACACGTTAGAGAAACAGTAGAGACACAGCGGGGACACGTTAGAGAGACAGTAGAGACACAGCGGGGACACGTTAGAGACAGTAGAGACACGGCGGGGACACATTAGAGACACGGCAGCACTCTACTACTCACTACTTCACGTCCATGTCCTCCATAGAACCCGGCTCTGGTGGACGCGCCGATGTCTCTGCAGATCGCCGTTAACTCGCCGCCAAAAACCTCCATCAAGACGTCGGGGGCGACGGTTGTCATGACAGCCATCGTCAAAGTGATGGTGCTGCCTCCGGGTCAGCCTCCGGTCCAGCTCAGCAGCATGACCATGGTACAAACACACACGCAGACACACAATCAATACAAACTATGGACAACCTCTCACTCGTTTCTTTCCCTCCTGCAGGAAACTAAGTTTCACGCTAAAGTCTCGATGAAGGGAAAACGTCTGTCCATCCATGCCGACCTGCGCAGGTACGCGCAAACACAGACGCTCAAACGCCTCGACCGAGGCTGCCGATCAAATGAAGCAGTGTCACCGCTAGCTTCCTGTTTGCATGCTGAAGGAATGAAGATCGATGCTAACGACATGAGCTACAACGAGACTGGATCATTATTTAACAGCAGGAGCTCGACATCGGCACTGAGCAACACGCGTTTATCCACATGGCCTCTCGGGTTACTGAGGGTTGTTCAGAATCCCCTAAAATATTTACTTAGCTCGATTTGACCTCGTGTTGAGTTCAAGGTCGCCTCTCTGTGGCGTCATGAGCTCCTCTCAATAACAATAAACGACTGAGGCAAAACTTCTCTCTTCTTTTAGATTTAAAATCTTCTCCAATCAATCGGCGCTGGAGTCTCTGGCAGTGAGTTACAGCTTTAAGGTTCTATGGATAGTTTTAAAATGTGAGATCAAATGTTTAAGTCGCCGATATGTCTGTCAGCTGATTCCTCTGCAGGCTCCCCTGAAGACCATGCTGCAGATGTCTGTGGTTCCATTGATCAACAGTAAGAATCGGACACAGCAGCTGTGAAACATTAGCGCATAGTTACTGCATTTGAACTTGATCAACGCTGTGTGTGTGTGTGTGTGTGTGTGTTCAGACTGGACTAAGAGAGGAGTTCGGATCCCTCTGGCTGATGGGGTGGATTTCATTGAGGAAGTAGTTGAATATCACAACGTGAGTCTGTTTAATATCTAACCTTCATGCCCTGGAGTGTGGATAAAGACACTGTCATCGCCCCCTGGTGGCCGGCTGCGGTTAACTCATAAGCTCCGCCCCTTATGTGTTAACAACAATGGACCATGGGTACCGAAGCCTCTAGTTCACCATTTTGACTCCTGCAGCTTGGATTCTGGAGCTTGGCAGTCGCTGCTTTTTAGCAACCAAGTGTTAAGACAACCTGCATTCTGTGTAGTGACCAGCAGGGGGCGACTCCTCTGCTCCCATAGACGTCTATGAGGAAATGACTCTACTTCTCTGTAGTGACCAGCAGGGGGCGACTCCTCTGCTCCCATAGACGTCTTATGAGGAAATGACTCTACTTCTCTGTAGTGACCAGCAGGGGGCGACTCCTCTGCTCCCATAGACGTCTATGAGGAAATGACTCTACTTCTCTGTAGTGACCAGCAGGGGGCGACTCCTCTGCTCCCATAGACGTCTATGAGGAAATGACTCTACTTCTCTGTAGTGACCAGCAGGGGGCGACTCCTCTGCTCCCATAGACGTCTATGAGGAAATGACTCTACTTCTCTGTAGTGACCAGCAGGGGGCGACTCCTCTGCTCCCATAGACGTCTATGAGGAAATGACTCTACTTCTCTGTAGTGACCAGCAGGGGGCGACTCCTCTGCTCCCATAGACGTCTATGAGGAAATGACTCTACTTCTCTCTGGATTTATTCCCTCAGTAAACATTGTAAACATGAGTTTATGGTCTCAGTCTCTAGTTTTAAGTCAGGTCATAATTTGACCCCCCGCTGTGTGACCGTGTGCTTCCCGGTGTTGACTGCAGCTGTGTTGATCTCTGCAGGGTTTCATCTTGATCGGCGCGAATCTTCACTTCAGCAAAGGACTGAGAGAAATGATCGCAGGTAGCAATCAGACAGACCCATGAACCATCACAGCGTAAACATGCACAACCCCTGTTTCCCTCCATGTGCCCTGCTAACGGTCTTCTCTGCTCCCTGTGCACCGCGACCTGGACCCGTGTAGATCAGTGAAACCAGCAGCGGGTGAAGAAGTATTCAGATCCTTTTCCTGAAGTCTGAAGTCTGAATGAACATTGTGAAAATACTCCACAATACGTTAAAAGTCCTGCATTTAAAACCCTACTTGTAAAAGTATGTAAGTATCGTACTTGAAACTAAAAGCATTCATGTTGTGGTGAAATGTTCCTCGTCTGTGTTTTTCAACAATATACTGAATGATGTTTCTGGGTTAATAGATAATTGCACTGCTGCATTACTGTACATGCGTCCTGCTGTAGATGTTTTCAACTGCTTTGTACACTGTTGGGTAGTTTAATCTGCAGCGATGCATCGTATTATTATGTGTGTGTAGTCATTTTAGCTCTCAGACTTTAAAGTATTGTCTTTGACACAATAAAAAGGTGAGATCTTATCAGCGGGACGACAGCAGCCGCTCCGTTTGTATTAACAGAAAAATGAAATACAACTTGGAATTTGCTTTTTTGTGCAAATTGTAACATCTACATATTGAGCATCCTGTTGTATTGAGACCATAGAATTACGTTTCTGATATTTACTGCAGGAACAAATCAAGGGAAGTAGAGCAGCTCCATGTTTTTGTCGGATCAATACATTTTATTCTCATCAGGTAAAAAAAACAACAACATCACAGCCATGAAAGGATTTTAACAAGATGTTACTTCATTTAACGTCACTGCATCCCGCAGTGAACAGTTCATCAACCCTTTATTAGCAGCTTGTTAATAATAATATTCATTTATTATCTGCTGAACATCTCTTTAGTATCATTGATTTAAAAAAAATATTCATGAACTTTTATAGAATATTCATCTGTTGTAATTTCCCTGCTGAAAGAAATCAGTGTGTTTTCTAATTTAATTTTAACGCGTCATTATCAACCTCAGACTTTGAGTCCTTTGAATCCTTCACTCTTTGGTCTTCAGTGAGTTGCCAAAGTTTTCGCCGATGCCGTCGTAACCTTGGAAACCGCACTTCCTGCCAGCGACTCGGCAGCCGAAGGTCAGCGCGTCTTGCAAACTTCCACCTACGGGGGAAAGATGTATTTATTTTGACCAAAATACAGAGAAAAAAAGATCTGATCTGAGTTCAAAGAACAAAATCAAAAACCTGGACCTGGAAGTGAAGGGTCTCTGCTTTCCTTTCAAAATAAAAGCAATACAAGTGTCCTTTTGTCTCACCGTTGGACAGCGTGTAGATGACGGCAGAGTTGAAAGTGTCTCCGGCTCCGAGAGTGTCGACGAGAGTTTCAGGAGGAAACGCATCCGAATGAACGACAGAACCGTCTGGACCCAAAGCGTCCGCTCCTTTTTCTGCCCAGGCACACACAAGGACGGCCCTGAGAGGAGAGACGGGTCAGTTAGACGGCCCTGAGAGGAGAGACGGGTCAGTTAGACGGCCCTGAGAGGAGAGACGGGTCAGTTAGACGGCACGGAGAGGAGAGACGGGTCAGTTAGACGGCCCTGAGAGGAGAGACGGGTCAGTTAGACGGCCATGAGAGGAGAGACGGGTCAGTTAGACGGCACGGAGAGGAGAGACGTGTCAGTTAGACGGCCCTGAGAGGAGAGACGGGTCAGTTAGACGGCCCTGAGAGGAGAGACGGGTCAGTTAGACGGCACGGAGAGGAGAGACGGGTCAGTTAGACGGCACGGAGAGGAGAGACGGGTCAGTTAGACGGCCCTGAGAGGAGAGACGGGTCAGTTAGACGGCACGGAGAGGGAGAGACGGGTCAGTTAGACGGCACTGAGGAAAGACGGGTCAGTTAGACGGCCCTGAGAGGGAGACGGGTCAGTTAGACGGCCCTGAGAGGAGAGACGGGTCAGTTAGACGGCACGGAGAGGAGAGACGGGTCAGTTAGACGGCCCTGAGAGGAGAGACGGGTCAGTTAGACGGCACGGAGAGGAGAGACGGCTCAGTTAGACGGCACTGAGGAAAGACGGGTCAGTTAGACGGCCCTGAGAGGGAGACGGGTCAGAGAGGGAGAGACAGCTCTCCTCATCTGTTCTGACTGCTTTGACCTTTGACCTCCTCATCTCCTAACTGAGGATGTACAATGAACTGTAGAAAGGAGGTCTGGCTCAAACTGGGCCGGAGACACAATTGTGTCCTCAAAGGAGTCGCGTGGACCCGATGCCGCTGCTCACCCCGGTTTGAGCCGCCCGCGGAGTCCTTGCAGAGCAGCTCCTGCCGACAGGAAGCCGAAGTGTCGGGCCACGTCTTTGCTGACGAACACCTGCAACGGAGAGAGCGGCGTTAACACCCGAGACGACCTGTGACAGTCCGTTCCGTCCCGGACCTCCTGTTTAAAGAACGTCCCCTCAAAAGACTCGCACCACGTCGCCGTGAGGAAACAGCTCATACAGCGGTTCTCTGGTCTTCTCTATCTCCACGGAGACGGTGATTCTCTGCTGCTGCCGCGGCAACGCGGCGTTAAACGCCACAACCCGCTGGATCATCTTCACCTGCTCCTCGGCGTTACGGCCCTGCAGGAGTTCAACGACAAACAAGTAGCAGAAAATGTCCCACTGCGGCTCCCTCTCCCTTTAGGAGGAGGGCGGCCGGTTGGGTTTAGGCGGGTCGATCTGACAGGTCCGGTGTCTCAGGCGCCGTCGCTCACCTCCCAGTGGATCCACTTGAACTGATGCAGATCGACTTTGGAGAAATCCTCCGCTGTGACATCCGGAAGGTCCCTGATGGACGGTGAGGTCAGAGGTCATGTTTCACAGGAAGATAATCCACACACGTCATCAAAGCTGATCATCATCGGGCCATAGGAATTAAAACTGTTGAATTAATTCTGTCATGAGACAGATGATTGTCAGTCGTGTGTCAGTCGGCATGATTAAAGATCACAACTTGATCATTTTGGAAGGAAACTCCTCACAGACGGCCGATTAAAACCTGTTTGATTACAGAACAGTTATTTTATCATATTTTAGCGCTAACGCAAAGATTTTAAACGAATCAACGACGATGAATTAAACAATAATTAAAACCACTGCAGAGACTCAAACAGACGACGGGTGTATCTATATTTATATATATAGATACATTTTAATTGTAATAAATATTGTTAGAATTTATTGAGACTTGAGGATTTATTAAGTTAGTGAAGTACTCGTTTAGTGATGTTTTTTATGTCCTCATAACAAATAAACAAGGTCCGCTGACCACTGAATCTAATTGCTCAATCCAGACCTAAAGTTCTCGCTCTGCAGTGAGCCAGTACCCCAAGATCAGAACCAGGATCAGGACCAGGATCAGGACCAGGAGGTCATGCGTCCTCCGGGCGGGTGAAACAGCGTCCACTAAACACCTCAGCACGCTTGTTTTAACTGCTGGCAGCACCAGACGGGTGGAGCTTACACCAAGCTGGTGTCGCTTCTGCTCTAGGGGGGGCGTGGCCTAACAAAGTGAACCTGGCGTTCAGTAACCGTGGTGACCAACCACAGTCACTAATGTCCCTTTTAAATGTTCACAAACAGGAAAACTTGATTTGAGTCGATGGTGCAGAAACTCAAGGCTTCATTAATGTTGGTCACATGACGCACCGTCGTGTGCTTTTCGATGAAGCTGCAGTGAAGATATTCAGCTGTAAAGCAGCGGCCGTTCCGGCTCTAATCTGGTCTCTGAGGCTCTGAAGGTAAATACGTCGCTCCGGCCGATCGGTGGATTGGAGCGACGTCGGGCCCCCGCGGTGACGAGGTGTTGGGTGGACGCCGCGCGTCGCCGCGCTTCCTTACGTGTCGTAGAGCACGACGGTTCGAGAGCCGCTGGTCGGACAAACGACGCAACACGCAGACGGAGTTTGACCCTCCGTCTGCCAGACCAGCGCAGAGACGTCGACCGCGTACCGCGAGAAGTCGGCCATGATGAAACTGACAAGAGACACAGGAAACTGATTTGTGTCAGCTCTGACCTCCAAAATAAAACCGCTGACGGACGCTGAAAAACGCCCACGTCCACTGATTGGAGGAACGGGAGAGCTGCTCGGGGACGACGTTCCTGAAATAAATACGAGTTAGTGAGACACACAGATACACACACCTGTGCACACCTGTTCATGTGCAGGATGGTGCGGCTTCCCGTGCTGACGTTGCTGATGACCACGGAGGCTGGAAGGGCACAGTGAGCGTGCTCGGACACCAGAGACACATCGATGTGGAACTTCTGAAAATCCTCCAGAATAAAACTACAGACAATGAAGTGTTTCACATCTCCGCTGTCCTTCACAATAAAACTACAAACGGGAAACTGTTTCACGCCCCCGTCTTAACCCTGATCAGGTTCCTCCGAACCGAGGATCCCTGTGGACAAATGAGACGTGGAAACAAAGTAGACTATGAAAATTAGGAGGGAAAGGAGACAGGAAGATATGAGAGCGAGGGGAATAGAAACAAGGTGAGAGCGTGAGAGAAGAGACAAATAAATAAGGATGAAGGACATGAGGAAACAAGGAGATAAGGAGAGAAAGAGGAGATGAGGTCACAAGAAGAGAGTGTTGAAACATAAAAAATGAAGAGAGAAATGGCAACAAGGACGTGGAGTTTCTGAAGTTTCTAAAACCTAAATGTGAACATTAATATGGAATATATATCATATCGATGGACGTATTGGTTTATTGATCGGCACTCACTCGGCCACAGGTCCAGCGGACAGAGAGCCCATGAAGGCGCTCGGCGCTCCGAGCAGCGACAGCACCGTGCACGAGTTAGAAGCGTTTCCTCCTCGCTGCCAGCGCTGCGACAGACACCTGCAGAGGAGGGAGGGGGGTGACGTCACTGCATGAACTATCAACACCACGGAAGAAATGATCCGTGTGGACACATCAAGAATAACAAGTATGAGAGGTGCATGCTGGGATATGATATAATTGAGGACGAGATGCACTAACGAGGCCCCGTTTGTGATCAGTGCCAACTCTGAAAATCGTACTTTTGCACCCTGAAAACAGTTGACACTTTATACTATGTTTGCACTATCAAAAAACGCACACATCTTCTTATTTATTGCGTTTGTGTAAATGTGCCTTATTTCACTTATTTTATTCATTTTGTGTATTTTATTTTGTACATTGTACATAATTAACTACTTGGGAAATCAACAGTTAAAAGGTAAAGTTAATCACATCTATTGTGACATCTATTTGAAATGGACCGTTATACACAATGAGTACTTTTACTTTTAGTACTTTAAAGTATATTTTGATGCTAATACTTTTTCTTTTTTTACTCCAGTAAGATTATGAATGACGGACTAGTACGTGTCACAATGTAAACTATTTACATGCTGTAGTATTAACATACTACTTTAATGTAGTGTATCTGTGCACATCTTCAGTGTAAGTACAGTGTAATTAAAAGTAAGAGGAGAACAGTGACGTTACGGTATCTGCGAGACTGATCTGTGATTGGTTACTAGGCAGTGCGTTAGCCTGCGTGCTAACATCTCTAGCATTAGCCTGTTTGCTAACCTGCTGTTGTCACTAGCATTAGCCTGTTTGCTAACCTACTGTTAGCATTAGCCCGTTTGCTAACCTGCTGTTGTCACTAGCATTAGCATGTTTGCTAACCTGCTGTTGTCACTAACATTAGCCTGTTTGCTAACTTACAGTTTTCTCTAGCATTAGCCTGTTTGCTAACCTACTGTTAGCATTAGCCTGTTTGCTAACCTGCTGTTGTCACTAGCATTAGCATGTTTGCTAACCTACTGTTGTCACTAGCATTACCCTGTTTGCTAACCTACTGTTGTCACTAACGTTAGCATTATCCGTGTGATAATCTACCGTTGTCGCTAGCATTAGCCGTGTGTGCTAACCTGCTGTCAGTATCTTCTTCTGGGTATTTGTCGACCACGCTGATGATGTCAAGACACACCAGACCCACACACAGGATCTTCTTCTTCTGTTCCTCCATGTTGGCCCACACAAAACTCCCTGTTCGGTGTGTGACCCTCACACAGTGCAGGCTGGACTTTGACACACGCACATTATCATTATCTAGTCACCTAGTTACAATAAGATAGCACTTCCTGTCAGCAGAGGTGATGAAATAAGAGCCGCAAAGACAGCAGCTGCACATTATTCTTCATATGTAACCTCTGTTATTTAATTGCCATTGTCATTGGTTGTGAGATCTCACAATGGCATGGATCAAGTTAGGACTTTTTTAGGACTTTTGGATTTAGCATTTATGCTACACTTAGAATGGACAAGATTTAACTGCATATTGAACAATCGCCTAACTTTGCCATTAAAGTTCAAACATACGGAACAATCTATGGGGGCTGAAGATGGTCATATTACAACGTCACAGCCATGTTTCTGATTCTGACTTTAACAAGACTAAAATCAAAAGACGAACGTTTCAAGTCCAACGCAAGGCATGGATGGGAATTGAACCCATGATCTTTGGTTTACGAGACCAACGCCTTACCACTTGGCCACCACGCCTCCTCTGGTGAACTGCTGTGCTTCATTATTTGAGCCAAAGGATACCAGAATCTACCAACACCTACTGTACTCTACTCTCAGATTGAAAAACAAATGTCTTCATGTGAAAACCTGAAAATCCTATGCTGACAATGTAAGATACAAAATACTCGTACTTTTGTAATCGATTGAAATGCCCACAGAAACTCACAAGAATACAATAATTTAAAGATGAACTCTTTCTCAAGACATTTATAGAGGTTTAAGATGAATAATATCTAACTCGTGAATCTTTCATTTCTCCTTTGCAGGCATTGAATTCTGCACGAGGGACGTAAAACTACTGTAAGATATCAATGATACTTTAAAAAAGGAGAGAAACTATAAGAATTGGTTTTACACACAGATTTTTTGAATTTTCCATTTTGATTACAATGTCTGGAGAAAAAAAAATAAAGGAACAAACAAAACTGGACAAGCAGCTATTAGTAAATTATTGCGGTGGGGAGGCAACTAAAGTTTTTTTATGTTAAAGGATGCCCTTACAATTGGATATTTGATCATGTGTTTATGACTTTTAATTCAGTTCAAATTAATTACATTTTGAGAAGTAAGTAACTTCAGGTAGAATCCCGTACCTTGTTGTTTGAGCGTCGTCAGTTATTTGGATGAATGGAATCTCATCATTGACATCAGGCTTTGTATTCAACTTTGTTGTTCACATTCCTTTTATTTTGCACGTCTTGTTTTATTAATCCCATCATTTCATCACTGTCACTATCTGCACATTTAGCCAAGTTTAGCCATCTATCACTGATTTGATGTTTGTTTTATAACTTGTTCCACTGAGGATCAATTCCGACTGCACTGAGCTGTCAATCAATCAAAGTAATAATTCTGCACAAAAATGGCGTCGGCGCCTCTGTAGACGGGAGAGAAGTTATAGATGAGAGCTCTCTCCTCCTCCGCGGCGCTGGAGAAATGGTGCTGGTTCTTCATGGCTGAGAGCAGGACGGAGGGAAGAAGAAAGAGGGGAGCTGTGAGAAGCTGCTTCACACCAAACCACATCGTTTAAGAATTAAAACGACAATGATTGGCGATTCTTTTCAGTCAATATGAACTGATGTGATCTGTTTGGCGAATTATATGTAAAATCTAAAGAATATAATAAGGACTATCACTAAGTTGCATGTTGGTAGCTTGCTTATAGATTTGATACAGTCAAAATAAAGTAAAAAAATTTCAAGAGTACTTTTACAATTAACACAAGAAATGATGAGGGCCTTTGCAGGGGTCAGAAAAAAAGGACGTTTAAATGTAAAAGCAACAACTGAATAGACAGAAATTATTCAATGATGGATTTGTCTTATTAAGCCATATTTGTAATTATAAATAGTTGTTGTTTTGCAAACTAATCAGATCTTTGTGGCTCATGGTCTAATTTACATAATATATACACATATCAATAGGAACACCACCTGATAAGCTGGGGTAATAGAAGCATGTACCACATGTTACCTTCGGAGACAAAGAAGCTGGCGGTGTAGAAGCAGACCGCTACGGCAGCAGTGGAGTGAATCATGCCCGGCTTATCGATCCACTCAAAGGAGCTTTTCTCTGGGTGCCACTGCACTGCATAGAAAGGGTAGCGGTATGCTGAAGAGAGCCAAGAAAGAAAAAAAAAGGCAATTATCTAAGCAATTCCCAATGTGGGCAGAATCCCCCAGATCATTTTCCTCCCCAACAGCAGCTCAGTGATGAGGTGATGGTGCCATCTAGCTCACAGAGGCTATCTATTGCAATAGATATCTATTGCAATAGAATAGCCCTCGGCCACTATGTGCAGTGACCTTTGGGTTTTTTTCATTTTTAGAGTAGAAAGTGAAATATTCAGACTTTGAATGGTAAAGTAGTCGGGAAGCAATGGTACCTTCCATAGTTGAGATGAATTCTTTCTTCCCATCACTGTTAGTGGACAGGACCTTGTAAAACCTCTTCAGCTTGGCATTTCGGCTGAAGTTCTGTTGGTTCAAAAGCAGAGATTTGACTTGTGTGATTTAGTTTTTGAACTCCTGAAGTGACTTTGATCTGCTGTATGGAGGATAGATACAAAGAAAACGCAAAAATATGGTGAAATGAATTGGTGTGCTGTGAAACACCTACATGGGATGTGGAACGGTAGAAGCCACCAACTTTGGTTTGCAAGACAAACTCCTTTTTAATTTCATGGACTATCTGGTAGACAACCCAATCACTTTGAAAAGTATTCAGGTTATTACTTGATACGAGACCAGCGCTTTACCGCTTCTCCACCACAACACAAGTTTTATATTTCTTGTTTATTGTAAAAGATGCAATATCTATAATACTACACAATTATAGGATTTATGGCAAATGCGTTTGTAGACTGACACAACATTGGGCAAAGACTCCCTTTGCTTGAAACTGAAACAGCAAACAAGCAACTTGTTGCAAAACAAACTGATTTCATGACATTACCAGTCAGACATTTGCAACTCCTTCATAAGGCTTGAGGGTTAGAATGTTGTAATTCTACAATCCATTAATCACAAACAGCATCTGACAGATCCCGTTTGCTCTACAGGTGTGGACGGGATTCAAACCCATGATCAGAGAGTAGAACTGCTCTGTGTTTCATGACATTTCCTCCCGTCGCACATCGAGTACCACGAGTGAACCTACTGGGGCACAAATAGGAGTCACACATTGGTTGTGGTTGATTTTTAGGAATCTTTGCTCTTTTGATAATTTTCAAGTAGGATTTCAAAGATTTGAAATCCCCCACCTACTGTAAAAGTCAACATTTAATTCCAATAAGTCTTGAACTTGTTAGAAGTTGTAATACTTCATTACCACCCTTGTGTATGTTCTGGGTAATGGAAGCTCCCCATGCTTTGTTCTTTCTTGACTGTGTACTATGAGGATGCGTTTGATTAAACTGTACAACTAAAGCTTTTTTAAGTTACATTAGGTGATAATACAATAATTGATGTGTAACAATAGAATGTTGTAATTCTACAACCCTTTAATCACAAACATCCTCTGACAGATCCCGTTTGCTCTACAGGTGTGGACGGGATTCAAACCCATGATCAGAGAATAGAACTGCTGTTAGAATAAAACTGTTTCATGACATTTGCAAAGGATCCGCCCATTTCCTCCCGTCCCACACTGGGTACCACGAGTGAACCTACTGGGGCACAAATAGGACTCACACGTTGGTTGTGGTTGAAATTTAGGAATCTTTGCTCTTTTGGTAATTTTCAAGTAGGATTTCAAAGATATGAAATCCCCCACTGATTGTAAAAGTCAATATTGAATCACAATAAGTCTTAACTCTTGAACCGTGTTAATAGTGGATTACTGCAAACACGAGTTGTCGGTCCTTTGTACATTTAACTTGACTTTCCTTTCTAAGGTTGAGGCTGTTTAAGCTGTATGACCAAAGCTTTTTAAAAGTTACAGTAGGTGATAATACAATAATTGATGTGTAACAATGGAATGTTGTAATTCTACAACCCTTTAATCACAAACATCCTCTGACAGATTCTGTTTGCTCTACAGGTGTGGACGGGATTCAAACCCATGATCAGAGAGTAGAACTGCTCTGTGTTTCATGACATTTCCTCCCGTCCCACATCGAGTACCACGAGTGAACCTACTGGGGCACAAATAGGACTCACACATTGTTTAAGTTAAACTTCAGGAATCTTTGCTCTTTTAGTAATTTTCAAGAAGGATTTCAAAAATGTGAAATCCCCACTGATTGTAAAAGTCAATATTACATTCCGTCAACATTTTATTCCAATAAGTCTTGAACTTGTTAGAAGTTGTAATACTTCATTACCATCCTTGTGTATGTTCTGCATAATTGAAGCTCCCCATGCTTTGTTCTTTCTTGACTGTGTACTATGAGGATGCGTTTGATTAAACTGTACAACTAAAGCTTTTTTAAGTTACAGTAGGTGATAATACAATAATTGATGTGTAACAATAGAATGTTGTAATTCTACAACCCTTTAATCACAAACATCCTCTGACAGATCCCGTTTGCTCTACAGGTGTGGATGGGATTCAAACCCATGATCAGAGAATAGAACTGCTCTGTGGTTCATGACATTTGCAAAGGATCCGCCCATTTCCTCCCGTCCCACACTGGGTACCACGAGTGAACCTACTGGGGCACAAATAGGACTCACACGTTGGTTGTGATTGAAATTTAGGAATCTTTGCTCTTTTGGTAATTTTCAAGTAAGATTTCAAAGATATGAAATCCCCCACTGATTGTAAAAGTCAATATTGAATCACAATAAGTCTTAACTCTTGAACTGTGTTAATAGTCGATTACTGCAAACACAAGTTGTCGGTCCTTTGTACATTTAACTTTCCTTTCTAAGGTTGAGGCTGTTTAAGCTGTATGACCAAAGCTTTTTAAAAGTTACATTAGGTGATAATACAATAATTGATGTGTAACAATAGAATGTTGTAATTCTACAACCCTTTAATCACAAACATCCTCTGACAGATCCCGTTTGCTCTACAGGTGTGGACGGGATTCAAACCCATGATCAGAGAATAGAACTGCTCTGTGTTTCATGACATTTCCTCCCGTCCCACATCGAGTACCACGAGTGAACCTACTGGGGCACAAATAGGAGTCACACGTTGTTTAAGTTAAACTTTAGGAATCTTTGCTCTTTTAGTAATTTTCAAGAAGGATTTCAAAAATGTGAAATCCCCCACCTACTGTAAATGTCAACATATTTATTCTATTTATACATTTTATTCCAATAAGTCTTGAACTTGTCAGAATTTGTAATACATCTGCCAGATCCTGTTTGCTCTACAGGTGTGGACGGGATTCAAACCCATGATCAGAGAGTAGAACTGCTCTGTGTTTCATGACATTTCCTCCCGTCCCACATCGAGTACCACGAGTGAACCTACTGGGGCACAAATAGGACTCACACATTGTTTAAGTTAAACTTCAGGAATCTTTGCTCTTTTAGTAATTTTCAAGAAGGATTTCAAAAATGTGAAATCCCCCGCCCATTGTAAAAGTCAATATCATATTCTGTCAACATTTCATTCCAATAAGTATTGGACTTGTTAGAAGTTGTAATACTTCATTACCATCCTTGTGTATGTTCTGCATAATTGAAGCTCCCCATGCTTTGTTCTTTCTTGACTGTTTACTATGAGGATGCGTTTGATTAAACTGTACAACTAAAGCTTTTTTAAGTTACAGTAGGTGATAATACAATAATTGATGTGTAACAATAGAATGTTGTAATTCTACAACCCTTTAATCACAAACATCCTCTGACAGATTCTGTTTGCTCTACAGGTGTGGATGGGATTCAAACCCATGATCAGAGAATAGAACTGCTCTGTGGTTCATGACATTTGCAAAGGATCCGCCCATTTCCTCCCGTCCCACACTGGGTACCACGAGTGAACCTACTGGGGCACAAATAGGACTCACACGTTGGTTGTGATTGAAATTTAGGAATCTTTGCTCTTTTGGTAATTTTCAAGTAAGATTTCAAAGATATGAAATCCCCCACTGATTGTAAAAGTCAATATTGAATCACAATAAGTCTTAACTCTTGAACTGTGTTAATAGTCGATTACTGCAAACACAAGTTGTCGGTCCTTTGTACATTTAACTTTCCTTTCTAAGGTTGAGGCTGTTTAAGCTGTATGACCAAAGCTTTTTAAAAGTTACATTAGGTGATAATACAATAATTGATGTGTAACAATAGAATGTTGTAATTCTACAACCCTTTAATCACAAACATCCTCTGACAGATCCCGTTTGCTCTACAGGTGTGGACGGGATTCAAACCCATAATCAGAGAATAGAACTGCTCTGTGTTTCATGACATTTCCTCCCGTCCCACATCGAGTACCACGAGTGAACCTACTGGGGCACAAATAGGAGTCACACGTTGTTTAAGTTAAACTTTAGGAATCTTTGCTCTTTTAGTAATTTTCAAGAAAGATTTCAAAAATGTGAAATCCCCCACCTACTGTAAATGTCAACATTTTTATTCTATTTATACATTTTATTCCAATATGTCTTGAACTTGTTAGAATTTGTAATACATTTGCCAGATCCTGTTTGCTCTACAGGTGTGGACGGGATTCAAACCCATGATCAGAGAGTAGAACTGCTCTGTGTTTCATGACATTTCCTCCCGTCCCACATCGAGTACCACGAGTGAACCTACTGGGGCACAAATAGGACTCACATGTCGGTTGGTGATGACATTTTAGAATCTTTGCTCTCAGGTAATTCTGAGGAGGATTTCAAAGATGTGAAACCCCCCACTGGTTGTAAATGTTGAGTCACTGTTGCTTCTTCACATCAACTCTTATTCTCCTATAAATCTGATGGTGGTTTATATTCTCTAACATAAAACATTTTTAAGTTGTATTTCAACAACCCATTCGTCAGATACTGTATCTGTTTGACTTAGTTTGAAGAGACACCTTTGCATTTGCTCTGAGAAAGGCAGCAGAAAATACCTGCACAGACAGACTCCAGCTGTGGAAGTTGGAGGTGATGTTCTTCTCAATCAGGGACTGCAGCAGATCCTTGGGGAAACCTCGAAAGACTCGGCTGGACAGGGCCGCTGAAGAGGACGGAGGTCCGGAGAAGCAGTTCACAAGAGAGGGAACGTCACATTTGGTCATAACTTCGGTCTCTTGTCTGCCGGGTTGGAGATGAGGGTTAACGGGCGAGGAGAGCCATGTGCAGGCTCATTCGCATGGGATCCACCCAAATCCAATCGCATGGAGCACCGCGAGTTACAGCGCTGTGGTTCACAGCTTGGTGCTACATTAATGTACGTATGGTGTCTCTTTGTGTGACTAAAAGACCAACTGGCTGCCTGGACGTAGTCAAATCTGTCCATCTAGGTCTAAACTGGAATTGTTGGAAAAGGGACTATTCATACATTATGACACTATCTCTAAACCTTGTTTGACAGAAAACGAACAGGCCGACAGTTGCTGGGAGGAAATCGAGCGGCGAACAGGGACGGAGAAGGACACCTGGTGTGAGCGTGAGCGGTAGAGCCACGGCCTTGGTGTCGGTGAGGGTCAGCAGGTTCTTGTGGGCCGTGATGACGGACAGCTGCTGGAAGCCCTGACAAGTCCCCCAGATGGGGAAGTGGTCGCCGCCGTCGTTGGCCTGCGGAGGACCGGAGACAAGGAGAATCAGCCAGACGGGATCCCGCCATCTCGAACGAACGGATAATCAATGAAAGCTGATGGACCAGCTGATTGATTCACTACGAATGTATTTAACAGATTTTGGATCATCTTGTAATGCTGCTCAAGAAAAGAGTTTGATTACATAGAATAATAATAGAGTAATTCTTTTCAGGGAAGTTTGAAGGCCCAGGCGTTGAAGATGAGAGATGACTCTTTTCTTAATCGTTTATTTCTTCTTACAAATTAATGGATGAGAGAATGGAAGATGTTTCATATTTCACCTTCAGAGCCAATCGGTAAAAGATCCTGGCTGCTCGACTGAACTGCGACTTTTGAAGGTCCACATCTCCTCCCGGCAGCAGCAGCCTGAGGGAAACACTCAGATTTAGATTCAGAAGCTCTGAGATGTTCTCTACATATGACATGATAACATGAACACAATATTACAAAACCGGCTGTTTGAAGCCTTCGACTAGGTTAAAGATCTTCAACTGAGCTGCAACAAACCAATAAATCACTCAACTTACCAATGAAAACCCAAATAGAGAACCCCGGTTTACTCACCCATTTATTGAGTTAAAGATGTTAGCGTATTCTTCTTCTGTGCGATTGATTCTGGGGACCAGAAGAGGCATAAATTCCATTTACAGTTCACACCCACGTTGGTCCAAAACACCCACCGTTTCATCCTACACGACAAGTTAAGTTGTCCTAATTGGGATGTGAATGGTGGAGTTATGACATAATGCTCATAATGCTCCTTCGCAGCAAACACGTGTGGGAAACGGATCAGCCGGAAAGCTTCAACGCTTCCCTTCAGCTGCAGCTATGGAACCTATTTTATCATCATTATATTATTAAACATTGCAGCTAGAATTATTATAACCTGTTTGTCTGTGGCCTTTGTTTAAATAATAAATGAACACGCCAGCATTCTCAGTTGGTTCAAGGATCCGAGTTGAGTTCTTCAGACGAACTGTTGAGGCTTTTCTTCCCGTCCGTAATCTGAGCTTCTTCTGGCTGGGAACCAAATGTCTTTTCTTTGTGGATTTAGTCACGTTTAGTTGAAGCAAATGGGCCATTAAATGGAAGCTAAGTGCTAAGTGTTTGAGCCCAGAAGCCAGAATTACCCCCTTAGTATATATACTTAGTTGACGTATACTAACCCTACCTGATGGGCACGACTCTCGCCCCGGCCCCCTCCAGGTACTTGACGTAGGACGCGGCGATGTAGGACGAGCCGCGAGCAAACTGGTCTCCTGGAAGGTTTTCCTGCGCCAGCACACCTAGAGGGACGGAGACATCAAACAACTCACACCTTCTTCTCACATGGAGGAAGTACAACAGAGGCCTTCACCGACGACATCTTGGAGAAGCACAAAGAGACATAAAATGTCCCTTGAGAGACCAAAATACCACAAAGACACAGGCAAACATGTCAAATGTCTCTCTCTCTACTTGGGCTTGGTCCTTCCCGTCCTCCTGCTTCTTTCAGTGAGTAAACTGCCATTTGTAGGGTTGATTGGCCTTCTGATGACTTTGGAAAACAGGTCTTTGGACAGAATTCATTCATTCACAGGGTCAGGGACAGTCACGGGTCACCTGATGGGACCCGGCGGACGAACAGGGGGACGTGACAACGCGCACAACGAGATGGGTAACAAAGAGAGACACAACACATCCACACAACTGCCTGTCTGGCGTGTAATCACATTGAATGTTGGTATTAATACCACATTTGTTTGTTTGTTCGATTTTGTAAATATTTTTACATCATCATAACCTGACCACACGCACACGCACACGTGTACACACGCTCTATGTCAACACGCACACACCTTTCCTCGAACGTTCTATGATTACATAACAGCTGTTAACATGATGTCTCTCTGCCTCTGTCTGTACGGACACACACACACGCGTCCTGTCCACGGGGGGTCTTACCTATGACCGGTCGGTGGTTGAGCAGCTGGATTCTGGCCGCCGCGCACAGATGCGCCGCGCACAGCGCCGCGCACAGCGCCGCGGTCGGCCGACACATCTGGAACAGCGGAGAGGAGCAGCGCGCGCTGGAAGCGTCGCGGTGTCTGTGGATGAGGACGGAGGGCGGAGACGATCCTCCCGGCGATGTTCGGCTCCTCTGGAGTCACTGGTGGGACTCCCCTCCGGCCCCGAGACTCTTCCTCCTGCGCTGTGCTCCTTGAATAGATTCCGCCCACCCCCTCCCCCTCCTCCTCCTCCTCATACTCCCCCCCCCCCCCCTCCACACAGACTCATACACGTTGTGCAACTCAGGTAGAATGGTATTGGTTTATATTAATTTCATCACGGCAGGGTGAATGAAGGTTGGTGAGGTTGACGGGAGGAGGTATTTGAAATCGTATTAATACAATGTTATTGATACAATGTCATTGATACAATGTAATTAATACAATGTCATTAATAGGGGCTGGCCCCGCCCACACGAAACACATCAGGCACCGCGGCTGAAACTGCTGAGTCACATGCGCACTTAAAAGGGGGTTTGCATGACTCTGCGAAAATTGCTGAACTTCTCCTTACTAAGAGAAAGTATCTATGACGTTATGTACAATCCGTTGGATTAATGTGTATTTGTAGTGTATCTCATATATTGTTTTCCATAGATATAGATCTGCTGATATTTGTATTTACTGTTACTGACGCTCAAACAAGAAGAACAGGAAGTGTCATTATCGTCTCCTTTTCACCTCTTTACTCTTGTGGGATCTTTGACATCCTCACTCTCTACATAGAAGTTTGACCTATTTTGTTATTAAGTGGATCCATTAGGAGTCATCACAGCCTTTTTCAGTTAAAATATAATTTTACAACATTGGTAAATAGACAGATGGATGTATTGATAGATAGAGGGACAGATATATCGGTAAATTGATGCATGTATTGATAGATAGAGGGACAGATATATTGGTAAATTGATGGATGTATTGATAGATAGAGGGACAGATATATTGGTAAATTGATGGATGTATTGATAGATAGAGGGACAGATATATCGGTAAATTGATGGATGTATTGATAGATAGAGGGACAGATATATTGGTAAATTGATGGATGTATTGATAGATGGACAGACTCTCTCGTCCTGCATGTTGAGCCCCTCCGGAGCGTCACGCTTCCACAAGCCGCTCAGCAGTGAGTGACTTCCTCTATCCGGACTCGGCTTATCAGCGAGCTGCAGCTGCTGTGAGCAGAAACAATCCTCACACTCTCATTTAATCAGTTACTTTTTCTTCTTTGCAACGTGGCATGCATCCATGTGAGTTTCTTACATTCACTGTGTGAACTTCAGAACTTCTGCGGAGCTGCACACTTGTTCCCAGCGTGCGTTCCCTGGGGGCCTTTCAATGTGACACGCCGTGTGGTCTGACAAGTTCCTCTCCCGCCTCCTACCAAGCCATAATGTGTTGGGGGGGGGGGGGGGGGGGCAATGCAGTAAGGATAAGGTGTCTTTGTGTGCGTGTTAACTCGAGTCAGCAGTTTGCACTGCAGGTGCAGCTCGCGGATCACCGGCTTCATCTGCAGCGCGCGGACAGACCTCCACTGGAGAGCCACAAGGGGTCGCCCTCCTCCAGCAAACGGACCTCCAGTTGGATCACTCCACTTCCTGCCCAGTTTGGATCGTCTGCCCGGCTGTGATTGGTTGCCACTGTCGCTCTCAGACCTCCTGCTCACTCAACCTCCCGTTGGTGACAAAGGGTCAAGGGTCACTAGTTTGCGTCAGGGTTCAGATCGCGTATCGCCACAAAAGCCAAGAGAACCCAATGGGGAAGTATAAAACTGCATCATCTCTGTAGTGACCAGCAGGGGGCGACTCCTCTGCTCCCATAGACGTCTATGAGGAAATGACTCTACTTCTCTGTAGTGACCAGCAGGGGGCGACTCCTCTGCTCCCATAGACGTCTATGAGGAAATGACTCTACTTCTCTGTAGTGACCAGCAGGGGGCGACTCCTCTGCTCCCATAGACGTCTATGAGGAAATGACTCTACTTCTCTGTAGTGACCAGCAGGGGGCGACTCCTCTGCTCCCATAGACGTCTATGAGCAAATGACTCTACTTCTCTCTTGATTTATTCCCTCAGTAAACATTGTAAACATGAGTTTATGGTCTCAGTCTCTAGTTTCAGGTCTTCTTCATGCAGCATGATGCTCATTTAGTGAATGATGGTCCACTTAGAGTCAAACAGACCATAAAGCAGGGGAGGCTTTAGGGGGACGTGTGGGAGACGAGCGTGACACTGGGGCTTCGAGGTGACGTATTCAGGGCGGATGTGGACACGCCGTTCCGCTTTATGAATACTAAACGAGGTGGAGAAGGTTGAAGTGTCAATAATTAAAGATCAAGTATGTGTGCTGTGAAAAAGAGAAGAGATGAACCACAGAAAAAAAACGTGCGCGCCCAGACGATAAAAACTAGTCTGACGGAAAAATATTGAAGTTATTATATATGAAAGTATTCATTTAGGTATTCCTTCCAGTGTGCTGTATCTACTAAAAGGAGCCTACTATGAAATACTCCCACAGTCTGCTGATAGAGCCGCAGGTTTGGGTGAAACGTTTTACAAACATGTGTCTCCTCTCTTTTCCTCTCCGGGGACGAGCACCATGATTCATGTTACACCAACATGAAGAACACCTGCAGTTCATCGACGCTGTTGAGTTCTTCGTCTGCTCCATGTTTTCAGTATCTGCACGTTGTTTGGAGAAATGAAACATTACCATAAATTGGAATGAATCCCTTGTTCCTTTTCTTTTAAAACAAGGACCCTTGACTGTAAGAAACAGACACATAAGTTTAATGATCTGCGCTCAAAGTTGCATATTTATTTTTCCTTTACAGCCACATGGGACGAGCTGCTTCCTCACAACAAACTGTGTTTTGTGAAGTGAAGAAGAGGAAGAGGAGAGTCAATTAACGACAGATGAGTGCCGACCATCAGGGGAGAGAGAGGGAGAGAGGGAGAGAGAGAGGGAGAGAGAGAGACAGGGGGAGGGAGAGAGACCATTGGAGGGACCGACCGTCACACCGACTGTCAGCGGGGTCGCACCGGAGAGAGAGGAGCCGCTACTCGCCGGTCATTGATAGACGCACGGGGGGGAGGTCGGGGGGGAGGTCTGAGGGAGGGGGAGGAACAGCACGAGGAAGGAAGCAGAAGAAGGAGGCACCTGGGGCTGGAACGTTGTATTTGCTTTCGCCTGCGTGTCAACGCGTTAACGCGAACAGGATCTACTGCCCTCTTCATCACACCACTACTCCTCCTCATCACCCTCCTCTCTTTTCTTCTCCTCTTCCTCCCCTCCTCCTCTCCTCCTCTCTCCTCCCTCATGAACATGCCGGGCTGGAGGAGGAACCTCACTTTCTGCCTGCAGCGGATGCACGAGGAAGGTAAGGAGGCAAAACAAAGTGCGTATGTTTTGGGCACGTGCACGTGCGCGTGTGCGTAAGCCTGCGTCGCACGCGGATACAGGTCGCTTGTTTGGAGACACTTTTCACGCGCTCACGCGCTCAGAGCGCAGGTGCGTGCACGCGCCTCCCGCGCATGTGCTCTGCGGGCTCATGGAGGCACCTGCAGCTGTGCTAATTGACCGGGAGTGCGCGCGCGTGGTGCGCGTGTCACCAGCGGTCTGTGCCGCCGTTCAGTGGAGATCTGTGAGAGGCTTCTGATGCTGGGTGCGCGTGCGTGTGTTTGCGTGTTAGAGAGAGAGAACGAGGGGGGAGGCTGCGATGGTCCTGCAGCATGAACACGGGGGGGGGGGGGGGGCAGACAGTATATCTTGTTGTCCCCTCACCTGTGCCAACGCCGTCGGCAAAAAGTAATGTTTGCAGAGCCACAAAGTGTCTGTGAAACAGAGAGAGAGAGAGGGGGAGAGAGGGGGGGGGGGGGGAGTCTTTACTACCAATCCAGAGAAATATCTGGATTTGGGGCCACTCCACATCTGGAGAAGAGATGTCAAGCTCACATGATGATTACAGCGAAGAAAATGATAGAAAATCACGTAACTGTATTTTGTAAATGTTATTATTATTATTATAATCAAACCAACAGTCTGTGCTGCATTTGAGCAAACTGCTGATTTCGGGGACTTGACCCCCGTCCACCTCAAAGGTCGCCCTCCCTTCAGCAAGCTCGCGCCCTGGTTGTCGTTAGCTTCAAGGCTAACACAGGGCTGCAGGGCCGACGCTATCTTTGTGAGCTGTCGGCCGCGGTTATCGTCGCGCCTGTTCCCTCGACGAGGACTACCAATAGATATAGAAATAATAAAGAAAATACTATAACATCGCAATAAAAAGGTTTAGATAATGTTTCATTATGTCTTTATGACGAACAAAAACATGGAAACACAGAGACATCATAATATGTACAATATATATGTATGTATAAACTCCGAAGCGATTAGAGATATTTTAGTCATGATTTATTTCTGTAAAGAAGAACAACTTAACAAGGGGAAGGAATTCTACTCCGATTAATGACTTTCTGTTAAAAAATAAAAGTAAAAGCTTCTATGTTGACCAGAGGGAAGTTAACTCTCATATTCAATGTTGTAAAACCTGTCTGATTGTATCTAATGGAATGTATTGGTAACCAACGGCTCACTTTGAGATTCGGTTGTCACCGTCTTGGATTACAGCTGTCGCCATGCTGTTTTTTTTCCTAAATGGACCATCATTTACTAAATGAACATCATGCCTATTGAAGAAGACCATAAACTCATGTTTACAATGTTTACTGAGGGAATAAATCAAGAGAGAAGTAGAGTCATTTCCTCATAGACGTCTATGGGAGCAGAGGAGTCGCCCCCTGCTGGTCACTACAGAGAAGTAGAGTCATTTCCTCATAGACGTCTATGGGAGCAGAGGAGTCGCCCCCTGCTGGTCACTACAGAGAAGTAGAGTCATTTCCTCATAGACGTCTATGGGAGCAGAGGAGTCGCCCCCTGCTGGTCACTACAGAGAAGTAGAGTCATTTCCTCATAGACGTCTATGGGAGCAGAGGAGTCGCCCCCTGCTGGTCACTACAGAGAAGTAGAGTCATTTCCTCATAGACGTCTATGGGAGCAGAGGAGTCGCCCCCTGCTGGTCACTACAGAGAAGTAGAGTCATTTCCTCATAGACGTCTATGGGAGCAGAGGAGTCGCCCCCTGCTGGTCACTACAG